AACCATATCCGAACCGGGAGAAGTGTCTTTTCTTAGGTGCTGCAGTTTACGGAGAACCAGGTCAGCACTCAGGTCCACTTCGGAAAGTCCTGTTCAGGTACAGGTGAAGCTTTCGTCAGTATAGTCGATGTGGGTCAGCTGGAATGTCTGGGAGTATTGTTCATCCAAGAGTTTAGCGGCATCACCGTCATTATTGGTCGGGCCATTAGGGCCTAGCAGTTGGAAAACTCCAGTTTTGCCTTGTTAAAGAGTAGCTGCGTAACTGAATAAGCTTTTCGGATTGAAGACAAATCTATCAATGAGCTTAATCTGGAACTGAAGCCTGTCTTCTCTCATTGCCTTTGTGCATAAGTTCCTTATGCGTTTGTATTACCTGTATGCGTCGTTATTGTCAATTCGTTTATATTCGGCCCAACAGTGCCTTTTGAGGATTAGCGAACGACGAGTGCGGTTCTTAATGATTGGAGGTTGCTTGTAGCTTTATGGGACCATTTGAGGAACTGAATGCTCAGTAGCACATAATAATCGTGTGCAGTAAAAAATCCCAATGAGCATCCACTTCAAGTTGAGGGTGAACATCCCAACTCACCTGTTGTAGATAGTCCTGTAAAGCTAACACATTCAACCGTTTGAAATCCCAGCGCCTGTTGTTGGTGGGATATCTTAGCTCTGTTTTGCTGACAAAGCTGAATGATAAGATGGCGTGATCACTTTTCCCCAGGGGAGCCAGGATTGAGAGGTCATCAACTAGGAATTCTTCATTTGTGAATACCCAGTTTAAGCGCGACCGCGCCTGACTGTTTCTCCAACGAGTTACCGACTTCACATTTTCGAATAATCCCAGGTCACCGATGAGGTTGAAGAACAGAGCTTCAGTAGAGTTGTCACCTCCAATGTATGTATGTTCCACGAAGTTGATTCTAGGAAGATTGAAGTCCCCTAGAATCAGGATTTGAGAGAATCCGAGACACGTATAGCGGGTTAATCCTTCCAGCAGACGTTTGTCATATTCGATGTCGGCAGTGGGCTTCCTGTAGATGACCCAAACTAGACACCTCGAGGTGGTAGGCAATCTTACTGAGCACCATACTGACTCATCAAGATTGAGAAACTCTTGGTTGTGAAGTTGGTGCGCCTCCAGGCATGACCTTATGTATAGTGCTACACCACTCCCCATTCCTGTCTTCCTGTCGTTGCGAAATAAAGACATTCCAGTTATTGCTAGCTCCTGGTCCTTAAACTGAGACGTTATCCAAGTTTCGGACATTCCTATCAGATGGGCATCATTAGCGTTGCTAAGTTCACGTAGCTTATCCATTTTGTTTGGCAAGCTCTCGGCGTTCGTGCATAGGCAGTTTATGCTTTCAATTTGAAACGCGTGAGCTTCTTCCTGTGTGTCTATATGAGCCGTGCGTGAGTGGACAGGTAGCCTACCTATACAATGTTTACCGGGTTTGTAGTCCCTGTCCTTTACACATTTTTTTATGATCAAGACAGTCCACGAGTGGAATTGTCATCTCCGGCTTTCCCTTGTGCTTGATCCTGCTGTCGTGGGGCCTATCCGGATGCATATGGATGCCAGTTGGCAACTGACGTCTATAGTCACGAAATGCTTCCAGAGTTGCAGCCGCCATATGGGAGGAGGGGAAGGTTATCTTCAGCAGCCGGGGCGTAGAGTCTCCGTCTCTCTTGGCTAGTCACATTACCTGTTGGGTCAAAATGTTCTTGAGTTTTAAGGAATGCTTAATGAATTTCCTGCAAATGTCCTGAAAACTAAGAGGAAGGTCGGAGTTGTCAATAAGGTTCATGATTATGACAGAGTCGTCGCGAACCGAAATTGATTTCCCAGGTTTTCCAGGGCGTCTACGTTTGGTATCTTGTTGTTTGGGTGTCAAGGCGCGTTTTCTATTCCTGGGCTCAGTGATGACCGGGCGAACAGTCTTGGGGGTAGACTGTGCGGCCAAAGCATCAATTGATTTCCACACTGTACTTGGGATGTTCATTTTCGGTGGGGACGCTTGGGTCTTTTTACTCCTGTTAACGTGAGTCCAACCACCCACAGGGTTTTTGGAAACCACCGTCTCATTCAAGGATTCTTCCCCGGGGGACCCAAGTTTACTGAGGGAGTCGATGACAGTCGATGTTAAGATGGTGCTGAGTTTCAGCACGTCATCACTCGTGCTTTTACGCGCACCGTCAATAGCCGACCTGTCAATATAGTTTTTCTTGTTTTCCCTATGCTTTCCAGTTTTGTTACTCATCATGATACTGTCATTTACCGAATTCTTAGACAACTTATCTCAAACTTGTTGGTAAAGTAATGATGGTACCCAACATAACTACGGTATCAGTGTTGCAGGTAACACATACCCACATACGATCAGACATGCTGAGTCTGCTATAGGCTGCTGCTGTTAGATCTGCACATGCTTCATGGAACTAGTCTTTGCAGTCATCACACTGTATGCCAGATGTAACAGTGAAACGGCAAGCAGGTCTTTTACATGAATTTTTCATGGCTAAAGCTTTAGAAAGTCTTAAAATACGAGCAGTAAATTTAGGACAGTTAAAAAAGAACACAGTAAACAAAAACTGGCAAAAATGTATAAAAACAGTTAACGATAAGCTAAAGCTAGTCTTCACGTGAAAACTATAAAAAAACCGATAGTGAGCTGAGGCAAAACCACAGTTAACTATTAAGTTGAGTGAAGCACAAAAAGAAGTAATCTACCGAACGTATAGCTCAGAATAGCTTTTTTAGATCGGAAATGGTACTTTTGTTGCGTAAGAACACAGCAAAAGTTTGAGAAATGTAAATCACGTTAGGACTAAACTTAACGTTCGAAAAGCGCTCGTATCAAGGCCTTATATATATATTTTTATATATGTTAATAAACCGCCGTAAGATGCGCGGTAATAGCCAGTGTTTAATAACTTGTAGGCAAATATTCTGTGTTTAGAAATAAAAAAAATCAATTGGTGTCGGTTTTCGTATCGGTATTACCTTTGGTCCAAATTAGAAATTCCGTTGACACTTACGTTGGCATGCTGTCCGTATGACTTGATATCCGAACGCATCTGCATTAGTATGCTAACTGAAAGAACAAAAGTATAACCATGGAGAAGAAGCATTCCACTTAGTGTTTCAGTTAGTGTGTTAGGTTTGATGCAGTTTATTTAGTCACACGTAGATTTTATCGACTCCATTATTACATTATCATGATAAAATCCACTAATACTACTAATAAATATGACTTCATATTAAAAATTCTTTTACGTGAAAGTAGCGATATTTGATTGTATTTTGGACAGATAACAAGGAGTCATTCGTGAGAGACATGCTCTAGACTCGATGCTATTTATATTCATATTCACCGGCTAATTGTGTATACAAGTTATTTGCATTATAAAGTTCAGCATAAGTTAGTAAACGACTTATTGCTAATATAGTGATTAAGAATAGTTGAAATCGACCAAGCTGACGTTCCATAAACACAGGTGCTGTGGTGTTGCGCGTTACTGGTGTCTAAATAAATCTTTACAAGATGACAGACAGTGAGTGAAGCCCATTTGATTATTAGGGAGTATACAAGGTGTAACTAAGGCGTGTACATTCCAAACTCCGTTTATGATGATGGCTTGAACCTTAGTCAGTGTTGGGCTGAATTCGACTGTCGTGTTTTCAGTTTGCATGAGATTTGCCCCACTGCTTATACTGATGACTTGCATGCATGATAAAGTTTTAAGATACTTGCTGAATGAGCAGCTGATAGAGGAACATACTATAATCGTCTGTAGTGGATGAAGATAACGAGAAAACAACTCTATTTATTTATAATTATAAGCCAATTTGTTGATGAGATTTGGTAATAATTTCATCAATGTTATCAAACACTTTATGTGATTGTCAAGTCATGACAATGATTTATGATGGTGCATAGTAATAAGAAATAATGTAGATCAAAAATTTCGATTCTTCGTATTTATCGTCGTCTATTTACATTTTCCAGTCATCTAAGAGAAAGAAAAAAGTGAAAGTGTAGGTGCATGTCGAAATACACTTGCACTTAAGTAAGAAATACACTTGCACTTAAGATAAGCGTACGAGAAAAAAACAGGATATATGCGACAGCATGAGAAATATCACACAAAAATTTTCCCTAGGACCTTTCGTAACAAGGCAAACATTTAAAATTTGGATTTTTGGTTTGCATGCTTTTGAAGCGACAAAAGTCCTGAGAACATAACCAACTAGCTGTAGAACTCGAAAAATTAGACCTAAACTCATAAAATGCTCTTTCAGCAGTAGTCGTTGAAGTGTTCTGGAAACACCACAGTCCTTCATAAGCCCGTCATTTCAGGCCGGTCGTTGGATACCATCGAAGTTTCGTCGTGATCATCAACCATCCAAGGTTGCATTTTAGTCGTGAGGATTGTGTCGTTTGACTGTTTAGTGAGATAATCAACACAGATACAGTCGAATTCTATGTAAAGGATTTTTAGCCAATCGATGCTGATGTTCTCTTTAGTCCCATTCTGATCAGCGATATGATAGTTAGGTTCACGTTGAATAATTGTGTACGGTACTTCGTGCGCAGCGTTGAGTGGATGTGGTAATGAATCGCGGCGTACGAAAATGTGTGTACGAAGTCGTAAGGCGGGTTGAGCTTCTGATATGGTAGCGGGTCCATACCAGAGATTGGCATGAATGCATTCGGAACAGCGAAAACTCAATGGATGGGTCTGCATAAACTCTCTTACCTTAAGTGGTGATCAGTTTTCCATTCTTAGCCCGTAAATTAAAGACCCGATCTTGGAGACGGTCATCAACATCCTCTGGAAGGACGCTTACTTTTGTGCCAGTATCGAAGGTATAACGAACTTTTATCGAGACAGTGGTAACTGAGAAAAGACGATTATGTTCACCTGGTATCGTTGTTATTGTGTGTCAGCAAGGAAATCTCCCGAAATGTTTGTCGTGATGGAAGGCTAGGTAAAACATAAGGCGGAAATTCAAGTTCGTTGTTATGACATCCACCTGGTTACTATGTCGTTTAACTAGAACGATGTACAATGTATAAACACAAGTCGTAGCTCTTTTTGTAAGAGACTGCTCTGATAACTTATTCAAAAGGCTGAGTTGTGAGGGATAAAGTGTATTGATGGGCCCACTTTAAGTTTAGTGCTTGTGAAAGGGTGATCAACACTTCTAATTCAGTATATTCATTGTTTCCATAACCTTTTGAGAGTCTATTGAGTTTAACATCGAACATGAGGACTAAATTCAAAGCTTTTGGATTTCAGAATGGGTTGATTTTAGGACTTTCACTTACTACGCAGTACTGCGTAGTAAATGAAAGTAGGAAGATACGTATCTTCGTACATACTCTGAAATAGTGTATTCTGTAATTATGAACTGAAAGTACAATGATTTCCACTTCATTCCGATAATTTGAAGATTTGTATTTTATAGACACTTCTTGTTTGAAACTTCAGACCTTTCTGGACAGGAATATCGAATTACTTTTTCGTCTAGAACTGTGTTCGGGCTTTAAGATGGTCTTTATAGTTACTGAGTCGTAATTTTCTTTTTATTTCCCCTGAAAATGGAAGGAAAGAGCATTAGTTTATACGTAATTTACTCACTGTAGTGGGTGTGGCGATTAAGAAATAACACCTAGGGTAGAATCCCACAGAATCTACAGAACTGAAGTAAACGCCGAGTCTTCTTTTAAAGAATTTAACAAAACGTGCAACCACTATCGCTTCCTGTACGAAACTAACTTTTCAGAACCATAAATTTTCCTCTAAGCCTTTTGGTGTTCTGTCTTGTAAGGATCACCTAAATGTAGTTTAGTACTGAATTGTGTGAGCTATCTCTTGGAGTGAATAGGACCATGCGAAACTTGATACGTCATGACAGTATGCATTGTTAGTTGTAGGATGACGATGAAAACAGGCACACAGATCATCATACAGTATGATGATGACGTCTTTTTCTGTGGTGGAAAGTACAGTACTAAATTCAACCAGGAAGTTCGAAGTGGTTGTATTAGTGCTGTTCTCTATTACCATTCCACATCTATCGGCGTTCAGAGAGAGTAATTTTCCGACAGTATAGCCACATTTAATTCGAATTTTGGAAATTCGAGAAATCAGAAGGACCTTTTTTCTTCTTTCACATCTTAAGATTATCTGGATTATGGGAGTGTTTGAGAATCTAAGGTACGTCGTGGGTGGTGGAAGGATGGAGCCTTGTGATACTCCTTTTGTCAGCCGGAAAAAAAGAAGTGAACTCCAACGACTTGTAGTATGTGATTTATCAGGTGAAATGTCCTTGACATACCTTCATTCAGCTTATGATGAATTGTGCAAAACCTCTGAAAGACCTAGAAGTCTTCGACACGACGTTTTTGCAGTTAGCCATATTTCTTGGGAAATCGTCAGTTACAAATCCTAAATAATTAGTCTTGGAAAGAGGCGTTTTGTTTATTGCATAGTGATATGGATTAAATTAACAATTCAGGAGTATGACACTCCACTTATCATTTACTACTAACGACGATGGGTTTTCCACTCAATCAGAGAATTCAAGTATCCCTGTAACCCTATCTTAAGTTTGTTGTCGTTTATGCTCTACGAAAATGTTTATGTCATAACCAAACTATAGGATAGATGATTTGGTAAACCAGATTCATATAACAAATATAAATTAGAGAACGTAACCATTGGTGGTGTGGTCGAACATGATGAATTCCACAAACTACTTATAACTGTGTTTGACATAGTTATGGCGACAATTTAGTGGAGGAATACTTAAAGTCTTCGGTTTTGTTAAGCGCAATCAGGATAATGAAATTTTAGGTAAAGTTATTACAGGATGGATCGGCGTTACTGTCATACCACTTACTGCCCCAAGTATGATAGGATATCTGATTACACATTTAAGCAAAGCGATGCTTGAAGCATGTTGCTAACAAACTGCCAGATAAATCAAAATGTGTCTATAGTTAAACGTATGGCAAATTACTTACCTAAATTTTGAAGATAAAGTCGCGCGTATATTTGAAGCATAATTTGAGAGATTATTGATTGGCAAGTGCAAGGTAGGTAACCTAATCCATCTAGTGAGCTTATGTAGTTCTAACTAGTAAATTAGCCTGATACAGTATTATGCACACGAAATAACCATATATCAAGATGCGTTTAACTGGGGAAAATTGAGTTACCAAAACTTAACATGACATAGGTTTGTAGATGTGTTAATTGTTTAGAGTAAGAACTCGTTATGGCAAGAATCACAGGTTAGAAATCCTAGATGATATAGCTTGCAGTCGATAACGAAGGCTCAGAATATATTAGATCTTTCAAGTCTTAAAGATTGTGCATCGTGTTACACAACTTCCCACAACTATGATTACAAACTCAAAGCATTCTTGCTGTATTAGCTGTGAGACATCTTTCATATAATTTCTCGAACACTGAAAGTCTAAGAAACTATTCTTTTTAACAAAATAAATTAATTCTCTACCACTTTAAGTCGTATGGACTTTTATTACATACAAAGTACACATATGTATCTTGCCAGTTAATATGATAGATATACGTTTTTAAAAAAATAGACGTACCAGATTGTTAATTTACAATTTAAATCTTACCCTCTTCTATAATTAGTACGTCAGATCTTGCATGTATACTATTCTAGACCAGCAGTTGAAAATTGGCTAAATATTAGTCAAGTTATCTCTTTTCTTCTTTTTTGTCAATTCTATTTGGGATTTTCATCAAATGCCTTGAAATCAAGCTATTAGTCGAATTCGCTTGTTAGTTATTCATATTCTAAAACTTACTTCATCTCATTGAAAAAAGACTTTGATTTTAGTGACAGAACATTATAACTGATCAATCCATTTTGTCTTTAAAAGGGAAAGACGATAATCAGAGTACTTGGAACCATGCTTTTGTAAGTGGCCTTTTTTTGTATACTATAATATTAATGAAGGTAGATATGTATTGAAAATAACTTTATAAATTATGAGTCAAAGTTTATTAGAAAAGTTTATGAATAACTATGAGTTGAAATTAAAAGAGATATATAGGTGAGTTGGAATACTTTTCAGAAAAATAATATATCTTACATTTCAGAAACTGCGATACATATCGCCTTAGTGAGTATAATGCAGCAGTGAAAATTCAAGCATGGTTTCGTGGCATTCGAATACGGTGCTATTTAAAGTTCGTTAAATATACGTTACTACGTTTTGTATTAGTATGTCATAACATCGTTGGTCAGTCTATGTTTCACTGTATTGCTTTTACTTAAAATACATGCTAAGGTCTCAGAAAAATAAAAGCACTTGTCAACTTCTAGAATAGGTGCGTTTTGTTTAGCAGCGGGATAAAGTACAAGGCTTTTGTTCTGTTTGGGTCTCTACAGCTAGATGCAACTACATCCCAGTGTTGATGGTTACAATGAAACTCGAACCCAGTAACTTTCTCTCGAAACGCTTACACTATGATGACCAATCAAGATGAATACAAACTTTTTCAGCTGCTATTATGTTTTTGTTGTTATTGGAAATGGTTTGGATTATTCGGTTATTAATGTTCAGGAATGAGTTTTGATTATTCTTAGCACAAGTGTGCCCTCAGTAGGTTATCTTTATTTGTCTATTTAGCCACAACTTTCCAGAATTGATAGATTGTGGTTATGAATTCAAAATAAGATAGGTTAAGAGTCAGAAAAAGCTATGATTTAGTAAGTGTATTCATTCAAAGTGACTAGTACAAATCACTCGAAATTAGTTATCTTCAAGTATCTGAAACAGACTTTTATTATTAGTACAATGGCAGCCTGCTTGAATATCTGGGCTACCTGTTCCTCCCATTTAGAAATCTCAAAAATTTATTTTTATTCTGTTGTAGCACATTATTATGTCTATTAATTGCATAACCTATTCAGGGGTGGATATAAAAAGATTGCAAGACAAAATTTCAATATCTATCGTCAGGATATAAAGTGGCGGTGGTGTAGCCACATTTTTAGACGTGGACTGGTGCCGATTTACGTTTTCATGTGTTAAGTTTCCCAATAACTTTGTCAACTGTTAAACTCTAAGTTACCGTCCAAAACACTTGAATAAATAAAATTATGTTTATATTACCAATGTCTAAGTGACTCCGAACTGTATATCATCTGCACTATCTGTTTCACCAGTGAATTCACTGAATTCATTGTTACTGCCTTTAATAGTTTGCTTTCTATTATATGTGGTGGTTTTAATTCAGATGATTGTGGCGTTCTTTTGTCACTAGGTCACTAGGTAGATTTTCCCGCACGTTTAGATGCAAATTCAGACTTAGTTTCCATAAGTGATGTGGGAACATATTGGACTCGTAAGCGTGATCTACTGTCTAGTTCTGATAATTGTATAATTCTTGTCCTGCTTGGAAAGAGTACAGTCTTACATCAGGCCAAGAAAGTTAAATGCAGGAATTACTCCGAAGAAAAGATCCAATATCTGAAAAACATGTTTCATGCAACTAACCGGGGACTATTTACGGATGACTCATTGGAAAACAAAATTGAAGTTATTACTTGTTATCTTATATTCCGTTTTTATATTTGTTGTCCCACTGAAACCACTTCTGTAAGTTTTGATCGACTTACATCTTCACAACTGAAATTATTTCGAAGGGTAACAGAAAGAATGTACGAGGAGAAAAGCTCCACTGAATTTTGAAAGCTAAATGGTCTGATAGACCTAGAGATTAAACGTCTGAATTAAATGTTTACTCAAAAACTCCTATCTTGTAAAAACTCTTTAAGTATAAGGAAGCTATTTAAACAATCTATAGGCGAGAGACACGTCAGTCACTTGATGTCATGCTTCCTATAACCATAGACTTGAAGTATAGTTGTGTTTCGATTTTCCAAAAATGCATCTAGTTACTTAACTCGCCCCAATGTTCAGGACCTTATGAATTCCCAAACGCATTTCACAAGTGTGCTGACGTTCTGTTTTATCCATTCACGAGCATCTTCAACGGATCCTTCTCAACTAGTCTCATACCAAAAGTGTGGAGAAAGATAAAGATAATCCCAATACCTAAGTAAGTATCGGAGGATAAGAATGTGAAATTTAGACCTATAGTAATAAATTTACCTTTTTCTTCCTAAACAATAGAAAAATTGATCCTGCTCTCAATTCGAGCTGTACTAAAAGAGCACATTGTTCCGTATCGGTTTGCATACAAATGCAAAGGAAGCACCTTAGATACTGCTGTTTTTCTGCATCGTAATATAGTGTTCAGCTTGGAAAAGGGTGAGAAGTATGTTCGATGCGCTTTTCTCGAATATACTTCTGCCTTCGACTCCATTCCAAGACGACGTCTACTAAACAAGTTAATCGGCGTCAACACAGACAACCGGCTGACTAACTGGCTATGTTCTGCCTCTCTGAAAGAGAACAGTACATTGTGGTTGGAGGAGAGTTTTCGACGTCTCTACTGTTTCAAAAAGGTGTGCCACAAGGAGCTGTTCTTTCTCCTATTCTTTCCTCTTTTTTCTGCATGATCTGCCATCTGCCACAGAAAAAACTTGTCAAATGTGCGGATGACCTCACTGTATGTACGCCAATTTTTACATCCCGTTGAAATGAATGAGTTTTTGTCTCATATTGAATGGTGGTCTGTTGTTAATGGTCTCACACTTAACCGATCTAAATTTCGAACTGTTAACTTTAGCCTGAGACATGAAAAGCATCTAGACACTCGGTTAGAATCCCATAAAGCTTGTACCATTGGAGATTCTTTGGTAGACGTGTCGTGTCGGTTGATATGTTAAGCCCATATACTTTATTCTAGCTTCTGGACAAACCAATTCACCTATCCATCATGAGTCATGTTTTCACCTTGTTAATTATTCACTTATTAACCCTGACCATTTTCATATGAGCGTAGGTGTGTGTACCCTTCTTATCCTATTTATCACATGTCAGTCATTTATTCTTGTCTGATTGATTAATGCTTGCTAAAAGCGAGTCGGCTTACCCGCCATCTCCAATGCGTGTCATTTTTGTTTCGCTCGCTGATATTTACTCATGTGCTTATAACTTTCTGGCTTGCATCATTTGTCAATAAAACTGTAGCTGCCACTTCTCTTTGCCTTCTGATTTTATGCACCGTTAGTATTTGTATTATAACGGTTATCGAGGTGAATGATTAACAAAGCATAGCACTACAAGGCAATATCGAGGCAGTCCTCACAGCATGCCCATATGCCAATAAGAGACCGACCAAATCCGACTCAGGAAGAATCAATGTTCCTCCCTTACAGTAATGACTGACTATTTACTTCCAGCTAGTTCTGTATACTCTGAGTCTATATCAACGATCCTTGTAGAACTCGAGGTTTGTAATTCAGTACAAGCCAGTCCTCCTCTTACTTTTAGGAACAACTCTAGCAGTCAACCATCATTCCTTTATGCAGGGATACTTTATGATGTAGAGATGCATCAAGCGAGCCGACTGAATTTATAAATATGGATCAATGAGTTCATACCTCACAGTCTAATTAGATGACTCAAAGTCATGGCGAATACGAAGCATGTACTTTTAAGAAGTACTGAACTGGATAAAAATATTTTCAGTGCTCACCCTATAGCCAGATAGAGAACAATTCACCAAGCAGATGTTATCTAACTATACCTTTTGGATTTATGAATTATTCATACAATAATATAGGGTAAAACCCCAATCACATCCCGATAGAATTGAGAAATTACCATATGGGCATAACTACATCGTAAGTAGGAGAGAACTGGATTGTAAGTTAGTAATAAATTAACAAAGACTTGAGAGTCACAAAAATACTTTATCTGTCCGAAAAATCCTACAAGTATAGGAATACAAAAGTATGATAGTTTGAGTATTAAATGCTATATCGATTGAGTGTGTGTCCTATTTAGTTTATGACGTGATGATCCTCGTCAATCAGAGAAGAGTGAATTATCGATCAGAGCAATGATACATGAAAACCGTATGAGCAATCTTGAGTACTTATCAGTTCTGTTATCTACTTAACCCAGACAGTTAAGTTCAGAACACCAATTACAGCTTCTGCTATTTAATCATTATTCTCAAACATACTGGGTTTATATACCAAACAAACTGACCACATAGTGCCTTTACCTAGGCTTGGGACCGGCAGTAGCCCCCGGAGGATCTATAGGCGGAGTTAAGTTACTTAACAGTTATACAATAGAAAATATACATATCATATTAGTTCATAAATAGTCCTCAAAAGTTACCCTTCATAATTTTCTTCGGGATATAACATTAAATGATCTTACAAAAAAAAATATTGTCAGTGACTACAAATAGAACCATTCCAAAAAGTTCTCATTTACTGAATATTTATCTTAGCAACTATCAATAGTGTTAGTCTATTAAAATACTTTTAGTTACTATCCAATTTTTTTTCTAAAAAACTGTCTTTTTTAAAATAAAAAAAAAACTTTTTTTATTTATTTATAGACTTCTTGAAAAATGTACAATCATCATCCAAAAAACTTGGAGAGGTTATATAGGTCGTAAACAATATCGTCTTATATTATCTAAAACTGTCATAGAATATCGACGTAATAAATTTAGTCAAGCTGCAGCAAAAGTAATTCAGATCATTTTATTAAAATCAATAATTTACCCTTCTTTTTTTCTTCATTCTATGATAGATTCAAAGTGCATGGAAAGGTTATTTAACACGAAAATATATATTCAATTTTTATTCACGTAAAGTTTATCTATCTGCATTAATTGATATAGGAGAATTTGTCAAGTAAGAAGTTTAATTTTTATCAAATATTTATATAAGGATTAAATATATACAAAGATTGGATAGTAGCTCTCATTGGAATCCAGGAAGCTCGTTTAATCCTATTTGGGACTCGTCAGCAGGATATACCTGCAACTCAGAGTTCGTGTTCACTTTGGGAAGATTCAAACAAACAATACAAAAGTGAATTGAAACTTCACTTTATTGCATAAGTATGTGGCTAACAAGACTCAGTACCTGAGTGGATAACGTGATGGCATTTGAAGAGAATAGTACTGGGTTTGAGTCCCAGAGTTAACAACAACTCCAACTGAAGAATCCCAAATAGGACGAAACGCGCATCCTGGATTCCATTGTTAGCTATTATCCATCTTTGCTTATAATGCTTGTGAACTAAGGCTGTATGGAGGCCATGCACACAGTATGCACATATGCACATAAGAAACTGATCAACTGCAGTCCTAAACGTCAATGGGAAGATTCAAATAAACAATACTAAGTGAATTACTAACTTAATGGTTTAAATGTGACACACTTACCATGATATCTAAATATAATGAACCAATCGCTGGTGGTGTGAATTTCAAGAGAGTCCAATACTATGACGAAAGTTTTATCCAGTTATCCCTGATTTAAATGGCTGTTTAATTAGAGTCAGGCCATGATATTAGAAATCTTTAAATAAATTAATTATCGCTAAAACTCATTAAATATTTCCAATAATAAACTAGAAATCAGTTATCCGACTATGAAAAAGAAATGAAATATATAGAATGTAAAGAAAGACAAGAAAAGGAACGGAAAAGAATAATTAATTGGGCGAAATCACATCATTTTCTGGTTTCAACATGTTGTCAACCAGGAATATATAAAAATCCAGTAGATCAAGCGTAAGTAAATGATGATATGCTATGATATTACTTTTACGTTATAAGTAGTATGGTTATATTCAAGAATGAAAATAAGTTTGCATACAAACTATGAATATACTGCAATTTCCACAAAACCCAATACTGATGATAATCATATGCTCATTAGTGACTCATTTCAAGATGTAGCTCTTGGAGTTCTAGTGAGAAGCTGTGACTGGTGAAGTTCAACTATATTGGGTGTAAGACAATTATTTACCCCAAGAAATGGATAAGGGTTTAATAATCTCATAAATTGATAAAACTTAGACATTAACACCGTTGGAACCCGGCTCAGTGGTCGATGGATTAAGAGTTCGAGAGCAAGATCAAAAATCCTGAATTCGATCAACGGAGGCGGGATCATGAATGTTCATTTCCCAATCCCTATACTAGGACGAAACGGCCGTTCAATGCTTTCAGTTTCTTAATAGTGATCTAAATCACATCAATTTGTGATTTGAACTATAAATATATGCTAATTATTCTTAACATCATGAAGTAATATACCATTAGGACTGTATTCCTTCTATTATGTTTACTGACGAAGGAACAATAACTTATGTTAGACTAAAGCATAATAATCATGAAACGAAGTAACTGAGAGTTGGTATAATCTAAGTATCAAAGTTTAGTAATAGAAGTCAGTGATGTAGTATGATGTTTAGTTAACGTTAGTACTATAAATGGATTTATTCTTTATCCTACGTTAAATCTTCAAAATCTTTGATGTCAATCCACGTCATTTTGTTAGTTCAATTACACTAATAATTTGAATAAATCTCCAAAATTTCGAACTTTTTCTGTATTGTGCCAGCAATAAGTAATTTTAACATATAGCTATTGTGTTTTTCGACAAATAAGGAGAAAGAATATCATATATATGTATACTTATTATGTTAGTAAAATATCCATTGCATCAAACCCTCCAATATTCTATAGAATTCATCAGGGTTTCAACTGATGCTGATCTTTTGTGAAAATCATTTTTAACCTATAAATTACTATAATATCCACAAAACCCCTTCTGATAATAATCAATATATGCTTACTAGTGACTGCCTCTATCAGGTATTTATTGGAGTTCTAGTTAGAAGCAATGACCAGTGGAGTTCAACCAGGTCTTTTGGGAGATATCAACTCACTGAAGACATTGGTGGATGTGTCGCTCTGTTTCGTGGATCGGTTGAAGCTATACATTAACACCGTTGGATGACGGCTGGCTCAGTGATTTAGTTGTAAAAGGCTCCCGCGAGAAAATAATAGGTCCTGTGTTCGAATCTCGTGAGGCGAGATCGTGGGTGCGCATTGCAGAGGAGTTCCACAATAGGACGAAACGGCCGTCCAGTGCTTCCGTGGTTTTCATGATCTCAACTATCAAAATTACTATAATATCCACAATACCCCTTCTGACTATAGATATATGTTAACACAAAGTAATTTAAGAAAATTTTTGTTTGTAATCGATTTTATTTCTATAAATTACAAAGTATTAGTTATAAGTATAACCATATCAACACGTTTTCACTGTCATTCAATAATGATCACATCACTTACTACATAAAATATACTACTACTAATTTACGCCTGTTACCCCTCGCCGAGGAGCATAGGCCGCTCACCAACATTCTCCATCCAACTCTGTCCTGGGCAATCTTTTCCAGTTCTTTCCAGTTACTATTCATCCTTTTCATATCTGCTTCTATTTCCTGGCGTAATATGTTCTTTGACCTTCCTTTTTTCCGCTTCCCTTCACCATTCCAAGTAAGGAATTGCCTCTTGATGCAGTCTGGTGATTTTCGTAATGTATGTCCTATCCACTTCCAACGTCTTTTCCTAGTTTCCTCTTCAGTGGGAAGCTGGTTTGTCCTCTCCCATAAAACGCTGTCGCTGATATTATCCGACCAGTGAATGTTGAGTATTTTGCGTAGACAATTATTTATAATTATATTGTACCTTTTTGACGATGGATGTAGTAGTTCTCCACGTTTCAGCTCCATACAGTAGAAGTGACTGTCTTCACGTTCGTATTGGAGATTCTGACTTTGACATTAATTGACAGTTGTTTTGAGTCCTATATGTTCTTCAGTTGTAGAAATGCTGTCTTCACTTTGCCAATCCTCACCTTTACATCTACATCAGATCCTCATTTTTCATCAATCATGTTTCACAGGTACGTGAATGTTTTTACATCTTCCAGAGTTTCTCCATCAAGTGTGATTGGGTTGGTGCTCTCCATGTCGTATTTGAGATTTTTTTCGTCCTTTGTGTATGTTGAGGCTTATTGATGCAGAGAATGTTGCTACATTACTTGTCTTCGTCTGTATTTGTTCATGTGTATGAGATAGGAGAGCTAGGTCATCTTCGAAGCCCAAATTATCTTCTAAAGTTACTGTCGGTCTTAAGCACATGTAAAGGAAGAGGTTTAGGCATGGGGTTATCGACCCCACGCCTCGGAAAAACTGACTCACTAAAAAAAAAAACTTTTCAGAGAATATAATAACAAGATTTTACCTCTTTAAACTTTTTTTTCTATTTGATTACATAATTTCTTAATACTTAAATTAATTACATTTTTTTTTAAAAAAACCTTCTAATAGATTAATCGATAAAGAAAAACTTCTATTATCAGTAGTAGATCATCATGAATCTATTAAAATTAAGAAAAAACAAAAAAAAATTTTACTGACAAAACATCCTATTGAATTATCATCATATCAATTGCCAAAAATTAAAGGTCCATTTAAAAATTCAAATGAAATAAAAAAATGGTTAAATACACCAATAAATTTATCATTACGTGTATTAACTGATTATTATTCATTAGAAAAAGCTAAACAAAATTGGAAATCACAAGAATGGTGTAATAGATTACATGATAATAAGTAAGTATACAATATGTTATATTTGAATTAATTAAATTTTATAATAATTATCAGAAGTTTTATGGAGAATTTAGTATTTTTCATAGTTGAAATAATGAGTCAATTGAAGTTAGACCATCATGGAAAACCTGGAAAAACTGAACGGCCGTTTCGTTCTATTGTGGGACTTCTCAGTGGCAGTGTGCATCCACCATTCCACTTCATGAGATTTGAACTCAGGATCTATCAGTCTCATACTAGAGCACTCAACCGATAGACTATTAAGCTGGCTGTCATTCAATGGTGTTAATGTCTAACTTCAACCAATTCACGAAATCGAGTAACCATTCGCCAATGTCTTCAGTGAATTGATGTCTTCCAATAGACCTGGTTGAACTCCACTGATTACTGTTTCTCATTGATTGATGTTGCATATACAAGTAATTGTACAAGTACTTGAATTTTATAAGATGATTGAAGTTAGATTCTAACAGTAAACGTTAGTTTTCAATATTACTATGGATATAGTTCAGTAATGAGTCTATAACCAGTTCAAAATCTATAATAAGAGCTCCGTATCAGTTACCTTCAATAATATTATTATTTCATCCAATTACATAACTCATCCTATTTGTTTTTTAATTCCATGAATTTTTCATTACCTCTAAAATTATCACACAATTTATCTTATCTGTCTCTGAACTACACTCAACTATTACATCACCTCATCCTTTATGTGTCCTTGATTCTAACACTTACTAACCTCTGACATATATATAGTTAACATTAATAACCTTTTGTCATTCCAATCCTTCACATTCACTTATGTTCTTAGAAAAGATTAGAAGACAGTATCATCAAAGAAGAAAGAATTTGTGAAATATAAAATATAAGCTAATTTTGAACCGCAAATCTAAAATTTAAAAAAAAAAGGAAACTTCTACATCATTTTGAACGGTTCTGACCCTTGTTACACAACATTTTCAACTGTTGACTGATATAACCGTGTAAAACTCAATCAAGTACTCTGTATATGATATGCTAGTGATTGATAGTCGTGTTTAAATCATGAGATAATAGTTTAACAAGCAACATAGCCTGGTATACCATATTCACATGACAAAAAGTTGACACACTTAAGCAACTTGAACATTAGCTGAGTTAACATTATTTGTCTCACATTTACACAAACTATCAAATTATATATATTACAACTTAAACGTCCTGACTAGAATCTTGAAATTCTATATCTGATTCCTTAAGAAAATATTGAACAAATATGAATGTTGGATAGTTATCAATTATTAACAGAACATGTTGAATATGGCTCATGATTCTTGTTTAGCTTTCAAGTACTCTTTATATATTTAGGCGTAAGGTTTCATTAACCTTTACATATCTGGGCAGCATCATTGATAAACACGGTGGATCAGATGCAGATGTGAGGGCGAGGATCGGCAAAGCAAGAGCAACATATTTACAACTGAAGAACATCTGGGACTCAAAATAATTGTCGATCAACACCAAAATCAGAATTTTCAATACAAATGTCAAGATAGTTCTACTATATGGGGTGATAACTTGGAGAACTACGAAAGCCATCATCCAGAAGATACAAGTGTTTATTAACAGCTGTCTACGCAAAATACTTCGGATCTGTTGGCCAGACACTATCAGCAACAAGTTACCGTGAGAGAGAACAAACCAGATTCCATCCAGCGGAGGAAGAAATCAGGCAGAAGTGCTGGAAGTGTATAGAACATACATTGAGGAAATCACCCAACTTCATCACAAAGCAAGCCCTCACATGGAATCCTGAAGGTCAAAGGAGAAGAGGAAGACCAAAAAACACATTACGCCGAGAAATGGTGACAGACATGAGAAGAATGAACAAACATTGGATAGAAGTAGAAAGGAAGGCTCAGGACAGAATGGGTTGGAGAATGCTGATTGGCGGCCTATGCTCCATTGGGAGTAACAGACGTAAGTAAGTAAGTAAGGTTTCATTATTGAAATGTTAACTATTAATAATATAAAAATGAGTTGACACAATTCCATTTATTCATCCATTAATTTACTTTTTTTTAATTATTGATTGAATTAGTTTCTACACTGGTCATCCACCATCAATACCATATGAACGTTCATTATGGACAACATCTGTATACGGTTCAATATCATATGGTACAAAACATTTCCGTGCTTCAGAAGATGAAAATAATTCAACAATGCATAAACAACCAAAATTTCGTAATATATTACCACCAATTCCATTATTTGATAAATTTAATAAAGAGTATATACCAGGTTATGCAACAGGATGATGTGTAGCAACAGTTTTGATATGAATTAATCAAATGAAGTTTTCTTTTAAAAAAAAATAATAATAAAATGTTTGGAATTCCAAATATCTTTTTCAATATCTCAATTAGGAACTGTAATCAAAGTGATCTTGTTTTGATGTACAATTCATTAAAACTACTCAATGAAAGCTTATTGTGTTATGATAAAGTCAAAATATTTTAAAAATAGGGTTGGTTGTCTACCCCTACATCTCATGTTTTATATGATAATTGGCTTATATTCTGCAGTTGCTATGTTTTATGATTTGTATTTATATGAATTGTAGAGATTTTGTAGACCTTTAATCCAAAAATATTTATAAAGACCTAAAACAAATTTCAATCCCGAAAAAGTTGTTCATATAGATTAGGATTATCTGTTTACTGGTTTCTGTGTATGACTTTGTACTTCGTGGAAAGTTTTATACTTTTATATATACATTATTTTTAGAATTATCACTGTGATACTTTATTTGTATTGGTTATTTGAATCTTCTCATTGATGATTAAGAATGTAATTGATTTGTTCTAGGGTCTACGTCAACTTTGGGATACAGATTCATCCGGTTAACTAGTATAAAATAGAAAGAAACATTCGTTCTGAACTCCACTGCTAGCCACCATCCATTTCTGCTTATATGACTATGATAGTTTAAATTGCCCTCGAATTCCCTGGTGGGACCGAGAGTGGAGAGAGTCCGTTCTCCCTCTCGCAATGCTCTCGTATGATCACGCGTATATAGCCTCTGCCAGCGAAGTCATACTCACTGCCTTCTCGTGGCGGTATAAGATGTTGTTTACCGAATTGAGAGGACGAAAAGCAAATGTCCGGCACTTTAACCAGATTGGTGGACACGGAAAGTTCACCTAGGGGAGTTGGAAAACCCTGATTCCAAACCAATGGTGTACATGGGCTCCAGTATCCTGCGGGAAAAAATGGCGTATGAATATATCGTTGGTCACCGGCTACCATGTGACTGCATCTCCTCACGATGCTCCACTGCCTTGTGGACTAGACCTTTAGGTCAAAGGCTCCGGGTGTGGCCCCCTAAGAAAACCATCTGCTTCAGTCTGGGCACCTGCACAGTATCACAGCCTTTAAATGAATAAATCTCAGTATATAAATTAATCGCAACCTAAATCATATGCAGGTATCATTACCAAGTTTCGTTTTGATAATTTCGAATAAATTGACCATTGGGTAGATTGTTATAAATAAATATGATATACATTTGTAATATCCCAATGAGTAGAGAAATTGAATTTTCTGATGTTTTGTCACTTAGTGTAAGTCACTTCTTCAGAGAATAAATAACTAAGTCAGAATTAATCCAAGTTGAAATAGTACAACGGAACAATAAGAATATTAAGTGATCAATAAAAAAAACAGGTCTGAATCAATCAATCTCATGTCATTTCATTTCGGTTAAGGTGATTCATAAGCGACATGTATGTAAATGTGTGTGTGTATGTGTGCACTGTTAATAATGAAAATTGTATAACTTTTATAATGAGAAAGGATAGAATTCAATTTGTAAGGTAATAGTATGAAATTGTAAAATAATATCAGACTAGATCACCATGATAAATAGTCCAAGTAGGATGTATGATAAGACCTTCCCTTCTATTGAGAGAAGTACGATTATGCATTATATGGAACGCTTCAGCTATTCAGTCATATATATTCCTTACAGTTGTTCATCATATATATATATATATACTACTAACAAATTCAATAATTTCAAGTACAAATAATAGTTAAAAAGGATAGTAAAACGAAAAGAGTACCATAACTATTACACTTAGTAACAAATAATTTCTTTTCTTTTTTTTTCTTTTTTTTTTAAAAAAATAAATAAATTTCATACACATACATGAGACAATATAAACATTTATATACACTGTACTATTATATTAATTAAAGAATAATTTATAATAAAAAAAAGAAGTATCATGGAAAAAAAAAGAAAAATAAATATGACAATACCAAAAAAAAAAGAGAAAAATATCTACATCTGTTATCATCATTATTATTATCATTAATAGCCGAAATATAAATAAATAACATCAAAAAAATAAATAAATAAAAATCAATCAATCAATATAGATTTGTAATATTTCAAGGGGGTAGAAAAATATATAGATTTTCTGATATTTCATAACTCAACAGTGTAAATCACTTATTTAAAGAATAAATAATCAAAATAAAATTATGTTTGTATAGTACACAAAGGAATAATTATTATTTTAATTTGAATTCATTTTAATTTGATCATTTATCCCTTGAAGTAGTGATTTACACTGTTGAGTTGCGAAATATCAAAAAATCTATATATATATATTTTTTTCTATTCATTGGGATAAATATATTGATATATTGATTGATTGATTTTTAACAATTTACCCAATAGTCAATTTATTCAAAAAAAGTATTTTTTTTTTACAATTAATTCAATATCACAATAATGGATTCAGTTTTTGAATATCCCTTTCTTTTTTAGTTTTTTTTGAAAAAAAAAACAAAAATTATTTTTGTATACACAATGATTACTATAAAGATCTGTATATTGAAATAAGAAATAATTAAGGTTAAAAAAATATTCAGTTTTGTCTCCCTCCCTAATTCTTTCTTTGTATTCTAGTTTCAAGGATGTCACCTTGAAGTAAGATTTGAGCGGATATTTAAACAATATTAGATTATATAAATTTTTTTATTCAATTCATATTGATTATCAGAATAAAGTAGTAGTAGTAGTACCAGTAGTAGTGGTAGTAGTAGTAGTAGTAGTAGTAGTAGTAGTAGTATGTCTTTTGTACAATAAAATTAGATTTACATATGAAACAATACAATATTTCATTATTTAGTCTTCAGTATATATTAGATCCCTGAAGAAAAAAATAATCATTATCATTATTGATAACAATAATCTGAAATGATGACTGAAGAGAAAACAAATTTAAGTACAATTACAATACAACATGTATACAAAATGCATCTAATATCCTTAGGTATATTGTAATTCAATTGATTACATACAATATAAGAAGGAACTTGCGGGGAAAAATAAACATGAAAGAAAAAAAGAAAAAAAGAATTAAAATCTTGTCAATAGATTATTATCATTTAAAGTATCAACATTATTTTCATATAATCTAGGTACACTTAGTGCAGAAGAATTAATTTGAATAGGATTAGGCATAGTGATAAGATTTGTTAAAGAATGTCTTCTAGGATTATTCATTGTAGTTATAGCAGCAGTATTGATATTTGTTGAATTGATTGTAAAAGTATTTGTATCCGATGAAAGAGCATCACAAATGTTTAAAATTTTATTTGGTTGACCATATGTCATGGATGGTCTATTGGTTAATGAATTTATTGCATTATTTGGTATAGAATAAATTGATTTATCATCTATTGGCCGGTTTTGTAATTCATCAAGTACTGGTTTTGTATAATCATAGATATTCTGAAAAAAGAAAAAAAAAGAAAATTGGGAAATCATTCACCAGGCGAAAATAAACTCAAAATTGCTTAGTGATATTACCCATGTAATATTACTTACTTAATTAATTACTTACTCCTGTTACTTTCAATGGAGCATATGCCGCCGACCAGCTTTCTCCAACCCACTCTGTCCTGGGTCTTCTTTTCTAGTTCTATCCAAATTTTGTTCATTCTTCTCATGTCTGTCACCATTTCTCGGCGTAATGTGTTTTTTGGTCTTCCTCTTCTCCTTTGACCTTCAGGATTCCATGTGAGGGCTTGCTTTGTGATGAAGTTGGGTGATTTCCTCAATGTATGTTCTATGCACTTGCAGCACTTCTCCCTGATTTCTTCCTCCACTGGAATCTGGTTTGTTGTCTTCCACAGTAATTTGTTGCTGATAATGTCTGACCATCTGGTCCGAAGTATTTTGCGTAGACAGCTGTTAATAAACACTTGTATCTTCTGGATGATGGCTTTCGTAGTTCTCCAAGTTACCACCCCATACAGTAGAACTATCTTGACATTTGTATTGAAAATTCTGACTTTGGTGTTGGTTGACAATTGTTTTGAGCTCTTGCTTCGCCGATCTTCGCCTTCACATCTGCATCTGATTCACCGTGTTCATCGATGATGGTGCCCAGATATGCAAAGGTTTCCACATCCTCCAAAGCTTCTCCGTCAGGTGTAATTTGATTAATGCATGTTGTATTGTATCGGAGAGTCTTGCTTTTCCCTTTGTTTATATTAGGAAGATCTATTGTTTGACGATTTTCATAAAACGAACCACCTAACAAGGTTTTACAGCTGGTTCCTTGTTAGTACGAAGAGGATTTTATTTATGTCTCGTCAGACAAAGCTAATGAATTCGCTGTTACAATATCATAGATGAAGAATCCACCCTTGTAAGAAAAATACTTAAGGAAAAATATATATCCATCGAAATTTGTTGACAAGAATATAAAGTTCGAATCTCCAAGATAATCAATAAGTTTTGCTGAAAAGGGAAAGGTTTACAAGTGTACTGATTTCAAGGGTGACAAAACTGCAAATCAACCTTTAGGTTATAATTATCCAGCCGAGTTATGTTTAGTAAAATTCTAGAGAATAAGTTGTGTTAGTTTTTCATCACGTGCATATTTAATAATTCACCTGTCTTTGTGGAGCTACGTATATCAGTCCTTCAGCGTGTTTTCTATTCAAGAGAGTTCAGAAATATTATTCATAACAGTTGAAAAAAGACAATAGTGAATGGATAAGAAGCTCAGTAATTAAGTACCCTGTAACAATAAGTCATTTCAATCAAAACAGATTCACTGTTTAAAGTTATCTACAAGGTGAATAGAAACCTACCAAGTACAACTAAGTTCGATTTCCTTCGTGTAGCTCGAGCTATCAGGATATATAAAAAAAAGTCAGAAACAATCCCTCCAATGAATTAAAAACTTTTTATGTCATAAATTGAATACTGAACGATCATCTTTGGATTTTATGGTCTACATTAAGAACTAACCTTAATCAGACAGCCAATGTAATCGGGAAACACTAGAAAACTGTTTAGTTCTTCTATGGAACCAGTCATAAGTGTCCATTTACGATCCCTGGTTTTCAACGGTTGTCTAATAAATTTCAGTCTATGATAATGACAAAGGAACTAAGAGGTTTATACTATTTCACAAACACTTTATTCTTGTACCTAATATTTGATCCAAATCATTTTTTATAATCCCTGAAAAGTTAAAACCCAACACTATGACTTGCATAATGATCGTTACTCTAATAAAAAAACGAATGTTTATTTATGTATGACTTAACGGATGATTTGAAAATACCCTTTATATGTGATTGTTTATGTTCTAGGCCATCATAGGTAACTGAACAAAGACAGTTATTTCCAGATATAATAAATATATAGCTTACTTTTAAATGTAACTGTGATTTCTGTTTTGAATTTGACAGTATTGCTTTATAAACCATTATTCAGCCTTATACAATTCTAAAGCAGTTCTCTCAGTTCTACTTTACGGCTGTGAAACATGGTCATTAAGAGTAGAAGATACTCGCAAGTTACAAGTATTCGACCACAGATGCCTTAAAATTATTGCTCGCATCTGTCGGGATCACCGGGTAAGTAATGGTGAGGTTAGATACAGGGTATTAGGGAATGATGGTAAATCAGTTGATGTGGTCATAAATCTTCATCGACTGAGATAGTTGGGCCACGTGTTACGTATACCACGCCTCGCTATGCTGACTAGTGTAGGGGATGGTTGGAAGAAAGTTAGGGGCGGCCAAACCAAAACATGGCATCAGTGTTTGAAGTCATTAACTTTTAGTCTGAGCCATGTTGGCAGATGTAGACTACCTGGTTGGGGTCCGCGTGACTATCGTAACCAATAGTTGGAGACTCTAGGTGACATGGCTCAGAATCTATCACAATGGCGTAGGTGTATACACTATTTATCTTCCCTTAAACCTTGAGATTAAAATTACTTCATATCTGTCTTCCTTCCTATACTATATCCGTATATACAATCTTCCTTTTATATATTACAACCACCAAAGTAACTACTATGATTTTTTTATGGATCTTATTGTGCTAACGAGGTATAACAACTTGAACCGATGCATAAATGTGCCTGGTCCTACGTTGTAGCTGACTGATTGACTAAACCAATTGATTAGGACTTTGTATCACATGATCTAGTCTAATGGTCTGACTGTTTAGTTTATCATCCAATATAGTGATGTATTGTACTCAGTCTATTTTATAGTATATTGATCTGTGTTATGTATTATCAAGTTGATAAATATGAAATATAGTATTTCAATGTAATAACAGGTTATACTTTATTACCTTAATTTATAAGTATTCATAACTAACATAAACTCACTTCATCTTTTTCTTCAATATCATCTAATTCATCATATTGTTTTGACATAATTGATACACGTATTGATGTTCTTGTTTGTGTTTTTGATTCTTTTTGTTTTTTTTTTAATTCTTCTCTTAAATTATTTATTCTCCATTGCCAACCTTGATCTTCAATAGTACGTATTATTAAATCAGGTATTAATGCTAATATTGTTAAACAAAATATACCAAACCATGTTAAACCAGAACCAGAACCAGTCCATGTAATTGTATATGTACCATATAATTGTTTACCAAGTTCTGTAGGAAATATTACTACATTACATATTAATAATATTAAAACATTAACTATAAATGCTAAACACCATATTAATAATACAATCCAATTTAAGTAATAACTTATAAGTAATACTTTAATATTAACAATAAGAAATATTATAAAAATAATAAAATTACCAAAACAAAATAAATTACCTAATTTAGATAAACCATTATCATTACCTTGACCTTGAAATGTTAAAAAATATGAACCAAAAAATGCAATAAATGCATGCCAACAAGCTAAACTAATCCATATAATAAAACGTCTATTAGATAAAATACTATTATTAGCTATACCTTTATATAAAACAGGGAATTCTAATAGGATACTTTTAGGGATTGATATTTCAAAGATACCATATAATAGTATAGGTAATGATGTCATAATTAAATTAAATAAGATTAAATATAATTGTGGATATATAGATTGTTGTGAATAAGCACAAAAGAAACCATAAAACATTTGTGGTAATGTAAATATTAAATTTTTATAAAAAAAATATAATACTAATATAGAGACACGTTGATAAAAATTATGTCCATGTATTAATAGTACTGTTTTTAAATAATGAAAACGTCCAAATGCATAATCCGATGCTCTAACTGCTTGTCTACCTTCTTTACCATAAATACCAAAACCAATATGTGCTTCTAATATCATTGATACATCATTTGCACCATCACCTATAGCAGCTGTAATTGGTATAGATTTACGACTTTCTTTAATTAAACGTATTACTTCAGCTTTTTGTAATGGTGTTGAACGACAACATAATACAGTTGTTGATTCAAGACAACATTGGGTAAGTAATGATCTTATTGGTTCCTATAATAAAATAGAAAAGTTTAAAAAGAAAAAAAAAAGAAAACAAGTGAGGATGGTCGTATTGAAACTAGTAAAATAATTTAAATATATGTATAACATCACTTTTTGAATTGTCGTGTCGAGTCTAATATTATATTAAGCTTACATGGGTTATTCTGGGATTTTGACCGACTACTTGGCGAGACGATAATTTATAGATGATCCAATTAGATTTAGGATAATAAGTCTTGGATTCTGACGCGAAATTCATTTATCCGTTTGACATTTTAGCTAATGTCAGTTCGTCATGAAAAATCTTATTCTAATTCCTAATCCCAGCCATCAACTAGATAACATAACTATGTGTTACATTAACTTATAGTGAAGTTGTAAATACTTTCGAATATAGATCAGAAGGGGTTTTGTGGAGAATTTAGTATTTTCATAGTTGAAATCATGAATCGATTGAAGGTAAACTACCATGGAAAACCTGGAAGCACTGGATGGCCGTTTCGTCTTATTATGGGGCTCCTCAGCAATGTGCATCCACGATTCCGCACTTACGAGATACGAACCCAGGACCTACCAGTCACTGGTCTATCGGTTAAGTGTTCCAGCGCGAGACTGGTAGGTCCTGGGTTCAACTTTCGAATATGTTTGAATTCAATATCGGTACAACCATGAATTAGATAGGTTACTGACAATAATAATTTAATGATTGAATGATTTATTATCTTCATTAAATGAATAAAAGAATTTTATGTTGAGGTGATAAACAATTTTCCATTATCGATTCTACTATTCTATCCAATTACTGCCCGGAATTTGATCATGAAAACTTGATTTATAAAACTTATGGTACATCATGAATATTTCCAACACAGTTTCAGTTGTTCAATACATTCATGAAAGTGCTCGGAAGTCAGACTTGTTTTTAGTAGACTGCTCGTCAGTATGATTTTCTAAACACAGTTTTCTCAACCATAAATACTTTACTAGAATAGTGTACATAGACGATTTTATCAAATTCATTTTACTAATAATCATTGATACAAGTGCATGAGGATAGGACATACATTAAGGGAATCACTAATGTGCATTACAAGGCAAGCCCTAACTTGGAATCAGGAAGGGAAGCGAAAAAAAGGAAGGCCAAAGAACACGTTACGCCAGGAAATAGAAGCAGATATAAAAAGGATGAATGTTATCTGGAAAAAACTGGAAAGGAAGGCTCAGGACAGAGTTGGATGGAGAATGCTGGTGAGCGGCCTATGCTCCTCGCTGAGGGGTAACAGGCGTAAGTAAGTAAGTAACAAGTGCATGAGATCAAATGCGTTCGCTGTTTCTATCAACATAAGAGATTGACGTTGATCTTAACATCGCACTATTTTTGTAATCTTTACGACCCTTGTTGGAATGATTGTTTACCTCAACATGTTATCTTTTTACGAACCTCCTAAAATCTTATTATTTCTTCAATGTCTTACTTAAATTCCATAAAAGACTTTAACAGCTCACCTCATATTTTGTTTCTGTAAATCATTATATTCATCCGATTAATCACATTCTAGATTAACTAAATCTAGTAATAAGTGGAGATGATTTCATTCAGATAAGATATCATCACACTCTTCTCAGAGTAAATCATATAGAAAACATTTATATCGATCCATCCGTTTGTGTATACTTTAACGTGTTACATATTTTATGCAGCTGATTTAAATTGATTTGAGACAACAAGTTTGAAGCTCTAGGTTTAGGTTTCATACTAGTTAGTATTTGTCGTTATTATGTATCTGCGAACCGGAATCTCACATGGGTTATTAACTAACCTATGATAGCTAATACATCTTACTAATAAGTGTTGATTAATCTACGTTCAGCAGTTTCTTCCAATTGCTTTTTTTAAGCTGAATGTCTTTAAAACAGGTTCCAGGTTAAAGTCAATTCATTAGGATCAGTAGCTACATAATCATAATTCATTGATAGAATCTGATTAACACAAGGAACTAGACAAATACGATTTCGATAACTACACTGTGATCATCCAATGATCTTAAATAAATGTCTGTAATCAGTATATCAAATAATAACAAACGGATAATTCGACATTAAATAGGAATAATATGTATTTGTAAAATCTCAGCGCATGAATTTGAAGTAAATCCAACTTTTCGCCTGGCATCTGGTCCAAGCTTTTTCAAGGAGCTATCAAATTCAACATTATTTGATGAGATTTTACAGATATATTCTTCCTATTTAATGTCTTACATCAACTCGGCGCCCAAATACTATGAAACTATTCGTTCTAATTTAGACAAAAGTTCTTATATAAACGGATTGTCGTTTATAAATTAGGATTTGTAACCATAGTTTTTTACTTCTTTATTTATTCATAACATAGATAACTGGTACAGAAAAAATATAAAAAATTTAACAACTTGTAAATACGGGGGGGGATAGATGATAAACTTTATAAATTATTGCCTGTTTATCTATTTCTTATAACGAGCTAATGTGTCTACAAAGTCTCATACAAATGAGGCAAGAGCTTATACAGATTTATTGTAGTATATATTCTTACAATCTATTCCATAATAATACGAAACATACTCATCACATATATTTCATTGTGAATAAAAGTACTACTATAAATCATTTAAGTATGATGTTCTTTTTCGTTTGATAGCGTCTAATTTTAATCTTAATTAAAGTTAAAGTTTTCATACTTACAGTCAGTCAGTCAGTCAGCCACAACCGAGAACTTAGTACGTACGTACATCAGTTCGAGTTGCCATACCACATTAACACAGAGATGCAGTTGTCGATTCAAATACCATATTGGTAGAAGTAGTAAGAGTATAAGCAGTAATATGAAAGATTAGGGATTGAAGATGTTATTGAAGAAGCATAATCCAGTGGAATAAATTTGGAAAGAGAAAAGGTATAGGGACATGAAGAATTCAGAAGATTAGAATTCGGTAGAACACAAAGAATGGATGAACCTTCGTTATTGCAAACGAATTTGAGCCATGTCATTCAAGGTCTCCAACCATCGATTGCTATCATCCCAACCAGGTAATCTACACCTACCAAACATGGCTCAGTCCGATTGTCAGTGACTTCATGGACGTATGCCACGTTTTGGTCTGATCGTCCCTAGCTTTCTTCCAACTTACTCCTAAACCATAAAACATTGCACGTCGGAACAGTCGGTAGTTGAGCATACGTAACACGTGTCTCAACCATCTCAACTGATGAAGTTTCACTACTTCATCAATCGATTCTCCATCCTCACTTTACCCGGTGGTCCCAGGATATACGAGCAATGCCTTATACTTACAATACCAGAAAATAAACAATTTTTTTATATTTTTATTACATTGAGATAAAGACATCTTTCATTTGCTGTTAATACTCTTACTTACCACAAGAGCATAGTTTAATGATTGACCATCTATAACAATACCGAATTGAGTGTCAGCGTCATACATTTTTGATTCTTTGATACGTTCGATTTGACTTTTTAAAAAACTTCCACATTTTACTGTATCATCAAAATTGGTAACACGAATTTCTTGCATACCAGGATAAAAATGTCCAGCTGAATAACTAATATTAACAGCAGTCTCTTCTTTATCACCTGTAAGTACCCATACCTGAAAAAATATTTTGTTTAAATAAAGCAAGATTAACACAATGAGAAACAAAAGTTGTGATTAAGATATGTTATTATCAGTCCAAACGGAAGCTAAACATATCTGGCTTACTTTCAAACAAACTTCAGTACGTCGTACAGTAATATATCTCTATATATTTTTCAATCATTCTACTTACTGAAAGTATTCTATTATTCAACTTATAGCCTGAAAATTATAATGTTCGTTAATGTAGTCAGGAATAAACTGAATTATGTAATCTGGACATTTGCAGAATCAATGTCAGTTAAAATGGTCCAACTATACTAGTTTTAGCTTCAAAGTGTAAATACATAAGATGAATTTAGTGGTAACATCTCAGATTGTGTCCAGAGTTTCTCACCAACTATTTTGACCCATTAAACATTCAGTTACAATTTCTAGAGTTGTTTATCTGACTAATGAGATGAGATCCAAATCTGAAGGGTAATAATACGTTCACTTATCAAATCTAATATTCTCACTGTAGTAAATAAAACAATAAAGGTTTTCAATTAAGGTTTTAATGTTCTGTTAGTTGTTTTTTAAGCTATTAACAAGTGTTATTTTCAACTAAAAAAGACTGGTAGGTCCTGGGTTCGAATCTCGCGAGGCGGGATAGTGGATGCGCACTGCCACTGAGAAGTCTCACAATAGGACGACACGGCCGTCCAGTGCTTCCAGGTTTTCTATGGTGGTCTAGCTTCAATTGACTCATGATTTCAAACATATATGAAAGAGGATAAGGAATTCATGAGAATTCGGCAACTAAACCAAAAGTTAAATACTCATTTATCAGTTTAAAAATAACGTAGTTGTAATTGACAATTTACTTTGAAAAAAATTGTCAGTATCCTTTTTTGCCACCATTATTATAGCAATTAATCAATTTACTGTTATTGATACCATATCAATTTTATCCAGTTATTTTATCAATCAAGAATGAAGATGATTGATGAGAAGGATTTTTCATTCCATACCTTGACAATAGTTTCTCATTCAAAAGTGAATTAAATTTCTGAGACCGTCAAACTTATGCTTTAAGATACTTTCATGAAGAATTACACAGTGTCTTGGTCAAATATGAAAACTGTTGGGATGATCCTGAAAATTTCTCACAATAGACATGACAAGCTCAGAAAGCATTGAGAAGTATTTTATCCAATCAGCGTTTGTTTAGAAGTTTTGCTAGAAATATCACGAAAATGAAAATTCACATGTAGAGGTTCTGATTGGCTGATTACTACATTGCTACTATGTTTAGTAGTATTCTACAATTTTCAGGAAAACCCGAGGACTTCTAAAATACTATAAAAACCCTATATTTTCTGTTCATGAATGAACCTTTGGAGTAAAGTGCTTCTAGTATAGTTTGTGTCTTTTCTCTCGTGCTCAAGTTGCTGTTTAGTTCTAGCTTGAGGGTTACCAGACTAGCTTAAGATCCGAATATAGTCTTCAATCATCAAGACTTATCAAAAACCATGTAGTAGTTCTCCACGTTTCATCTCCGTACAGTATAACTGTCTGTCTTCACGTCCGTATTGAAGATTCTTACTTTGATATTAGTTGACAGTTGTTTTGAGTTCCATATGTTCTTCAATTGTAGGAATGCTGTCCTCACTTTGCAAGTTCTCGCTTCCACGTCTGCATCAGATCCTCTTTTTTCACCAATGATGCTTCCCAGTTACGTGAATGTTTATACATCTTCCAGAGTCTCTCCACCAAGTGTGATTGATTCGTTTGGTGTTCTCCGTGTTGTATTGGAGAATCTTGCTTTTTCCTTTGTGTATGTTGAGGCCTATTGATTTTAATTCTTAACACATCACTTATATAACTTATATGACGGAGTATGAAAGTATTTCTTAACAAAAAAATGATTCACTTTTGTAGTAGAATTCAACAAATCCTTATTAATAAAAAATAATATGATAATAACATCAAACTAACTTTAATTCCAGCCTCTCGAAGTGCTTTTATAGTTTCAGGAACACCTTCTTGAAGCATATCCTCTATACCAGTACATCCAATTAATGTGAGCTTTTTTTCAATTTCATTATAAGCTGTCATTAATTCTTTTTGACGTCTTTCATTAACTATACTTCTTGCTTTATCAAGTTTAATTTTTAATTCATTCCATTTTTCAATAGTAATTAATCGTATACCCATAACTAATGTACGTAAACCTAAAGTTGCAAATTCAGTCACTTGTTTCATAACTTGTTCAGAATCCATACGTAATTTTAATCCATTTGTTCCACAGAAACTATCACCTAAAGGATCTCCATACGTTTTAAAATTGTTAGGTTGTTCCAAATGACTAACCTAAAGTATAATATAATATAATAATGAAATTTGATTCATTAAACTATAAAATGTTAAAAAGCAATACAGATTATCTATTTGAACAGAACTAACATCTGGTACTTTAGCCAAAAAAAAACTGAAACTATATCGATGTAAATGTAATCGCAATTAGTTCATATGATAACATGAAATGAAGGGTAGAGGTTCTTAATGATGAAGCTGAATGAAAAATTGGTTATTATACAGTCCTATTTGCGGGAACGTAGATGCGCACTGCTGAGGACTCCTATAGTAGAATGAAATGGCCATCCAGTGTTTCTAGTTTTTCAATAGTCGTCTAACATCGATCCATTGATAATATCAATCTAAACTCAACAGTTTCCACAAGTCTATACTGATTATCTTCAGAGTAAATTAATTTTATGAAGAAGAAAATCTCTAATAGACAAAAATTTTTGCAGACATAATTGATTATGATGAGTTGAGTTGCGTTAACTCATGTACTTGTGAAGACGTTGATTTTTGGGAACTAATGAAAACCAGTTAAATTCGAAGCCAAGTAAAAGCAATAGTAATCGGAAGGTTGATATAATATTGAAAGAATAATAAAGTATCATACCATTCAATTAATTTAAATATGCAAATGATCGTCAGAGTAGATTTAATTTTGGAAGATAATGTTTTTGTACACAAAAAAAGGCTCAAACCTTTTTCTATATAGTTAAGATCATGATTCAATTGAAGCTAGACCACTATCGAAAACCTGGAAGCACTGGACAGCCGTTTCATCTGATTACGGGACTCCTCAGCAGTGTGCATCCACGATCCTGCACTCGCAAGATTCGAACCCAGGACCTACCAGTCTCAAACCAGATCCCTTAACCGATAGACCACTGTCTAACCTCAATCAATCCACGACTTATGATCTTAACTATATTAAATTAATAAAATCTTCACAAAAACCCCTTGTGATAAACCTTTTTCATCGGAACGGACTGAAGACCTTTCAAAGGTAATTAACTTCTATACTGATTTAATAGCTTCAACTGATAAATGTTTAATATCATTGTTTCAGTCAGCAGTTTAATGCATTTTTTCGGTTCAAATTCTTTAAATTTCGTTAAAGAAGCTCTTGATTAAGCTTTGCCAATGATTTCGGGAACTTATAGCAATTTTATGTTTCCTAGAATTTATATGAATTAAATATTTGTAAACAAAAAAGAAAATTGTTTTGACAAATCTAATTGAATTTAGCTACGAGATTGTATACCGTGTACGTGTCTTTATGAGAAAACGCCTAGATTATAATTTACTGACGATCTTTAAGTGATGCTAAAGTGATCATGTGAAATTTCAACTACTTACTAGGCTCTCAATAAGGTTATAAATTATTGTAAGGTATTAGATTTGAATGTTATATGTCAAAGTTACGGTTGAGAATTAAAGATTGAGCTTTAGTCACGAACTGACGTAAGCTATAATTTCGAGATGCTATTTGGTCGTACAATTGAATGACTTCAGATACAACATTTAAGGTTTGCAATCTTAAATCTAATTACTCATCTATGAATCTTACTCCTGCCGAAAAATCTATCAAATTTTATTTTTAATTAAATGATGACTTATGTTAATATATTTTCTATTAGCATTTCGGACAGAACTATTTATACAACCAAACAAAACTTCGAATCTCGCGAGGCGAGGTCGTGGTTGCGCACTGCTGATGAGTCCCACAATAGGACGAAACGGTCGTCCACTGCTTCCAGATTTTCCCTGGTGGTTTAGCTTCAATTGGCTCACGCTTTCAACTATGAAAATATTAAATCTCTACACCCCCCCCTTTTATTCGTTTTCATTTCGTTTTCCTTTTTTTTTTGTTTTAAATTCACTGTCGTCGTTATCTTTTGGTTTTAATTGATTATTTGCTTAGGAACTATTTTCTTTCAAAAAGTTTCCTTTTTGGCATCATCATAACTAATAATTTTTTATATTTTAATTTAATAAAAAAACCCAAAAAAAACTTCTATAAATAAACTTCATATTTATAAAGTTGACTTATTAAATTATCTTAATGCGTGGAACTAGTCAACTTAATGATCATAACGACCCTTTTATTTTAATAAGCTTAGAAACGAAAATTATGAATAATTTATTGAATCAATAAATAGTTCAATTATATAATGACTTTATAATAATTAATTATTATTGTAAGGAAAGTTATTTATGCGCATTGATCACTCTCAGATAAAATAATAACTTAATAGTAATAATAATAATCAGAAGGGGTTTTGTGGAGATTCCAGTATTCTCATTGTTGAAATCATGAGTCAAATGAAGTTAGACCACTATGGAAAACCTGGAAGCACTGAACGTCCGTTTCGTCCTATTGTGGGAATTCTCAGCAGTGTGCATGCACGATCCTGCCATGCAAGATTAGAACTCAGGACCTACCAGTCTCAAACCAGAGCACTTAACCGATAGACCACTGACTTCAAGATACATGTCCTGGAGTTCTACTGAGAAGTAGTGATCAGTGGAGTTCAATCACGTATGTTGTGAGTTAACAACTCACTGAAGACAATTGATGAACGGTTGATCAATTTCGTGGATTGGTTGAAGTTAGACATTAACACCATTGGATGCCGGTCGGCTCAGTGGTCTATCGGTTAAGTGTTCGCCGGCGAGACTGATAGGTCCTGAGTTCAAATCTCGTGAGGCGGGATGGTGGATGCACACTGCCACTGAGTAGTCCCACAATAGGACGAAACGGCCGTCCAGTGCTTCCAGGTTGTTTTATGGTCATCCACATTCAATTGACTCAAGATTTCAGCAATAAAATAATAATAATAATAATAATAATAGTAATAATGATCATAACTCCAATCAATATAATAGGTATGGTAACTTTACTTTTACACCTCATTAGTTAAATATTAGTTTTGATAGGATTAAATTGGTACACATAGACATTAACTTCATTAAATCAATGATATTAATCAGATTACAGTCATTATTTAATCAACTATCCACAGGCTGAAACCTTATTACCGTCTTCTCAGAGTAACAGTGTTTACGTGTAAAGACCATAAACATTTATATAAGAGTGTTTTTTAATTTTCATACACCAAAGTATACACCATGTTGTGCCTTTGAACCCGACTAATTATCACGTGATTAACTCGTCAATCGAAATGAGACATATATAATCTTAGCGTTGTACCAAAACAATGATGTTTTGACCGGCAGGAGAAGCCGTGTCTTTGTTTGATCCTTTTCCTGCCTACCTTTTCCTCTTGAGTCCAGTAAGCCTATAACAACTCCCACTATGCGAATCAATTATTTGAAACAAAATGAAGCTTATATATATATATATATATATATATATATATATATATATATATATATATATAGCCACTATCCATCTCTGATTACAGTGCTTGTAAATTAAGGCTATATTAAAGCAATACGCACAGTATGCACATATGCCAATAAGAGACTGGTCAATTACAGTCCTAAACATCGATGGGAAGATTCAAGTAAAACAATGCCAAGTGAATTAGAACGAATAAGTTGAAAACAATTGGGTGCCCAGTATAGAGTAGTGTATTATTACTCTGAAGATGTCCAGACAAGTTTGCTGAACGAAACGTTGAAATTATTTCAATTTCAATTTCAGAGATCATTTCAAATATAAATTTCACATAAAATAAGATAAAATAGATTATTACTGCTTTTTGTTTTATCAAATCTGTTTATGTGAGGTCAATCACTAACTATATTTTGTATTTTGAAAAATGAATGGAAAATCACCCTTTAGTAATAATAAAGATTTTTAATAAGCTACTCTAGTAAAACAACACTTAGAGATGACGACATTGGATGATATTAGTTGCTCGTATCAACTGACAGATATTCTTCAAAATTCATATTACACAATGTATTTTAAATCACAAAGTAGAAGTCAGGTAGTAGTAGTAGTAGTAGTAGTAGTAGTAGTAGTAGTAGTAGTAGTAGTAGTAGTAATATATTCAAGTGAATATCTTGCATGATGGTACTGTTTGCACTAGAGTATATATGATAATCGAGTTACTATTTCCCGAAAAAAAATATGTATGTACCTAACTAAAAAGTATTAAAAGCGTTGAATATATGGTACAGCGTATTCTTCTTTATTACACTATACCGGTTATAGCTATTCTAAGGTTACTGCCAGTTCCAAGTCAGAGTAAAAACGGAAGGGTCTGGAGTACAATGAACAACTCTATCTCTCGTAATAGAGAACCTTTCTGGAAAAAAACAACACTAGTCAGTAAACGTCTTTACAATATAAAGAATTGACATCAATTCCACCTTTGTTCATCAATGTGCTAAGTTACTACTATATAAATCTTTTTGATTGACTATTCCAAAGAAAAAAATACAAACGTAGGCTAATATGAGAAAACAATTTTTTTTCTATTGTAAATTGCAAAAGAAAAAACCAACAATATTTCAGTTTATTAATGAAAAAAAAAGTGTGGGACTCCACAATTACGTATCATTGTTATTCATATATATATCTTGATAATAGAATGTTGTATTGGTTGAGGTACCGCTTTATTTGATTATAAGTCCTATGAATTCTTATATTGATATAAAGAAACTTTAGTAAGATATGATACTATTTGATGATATTAATCTAATTGATGCAATTTTCGGGTTCAATAACTCATAGATGAATGTTTACATAAGGTCTGTATTATTAAGTCATTATGTGGTGTGGGTTGCTTACATCCACATAAGTAGTATATATGGTGATGGTCAGGAGGAGAATGTATTTCAGTAGAAGATCGATAAGGACAGATCTATTTATTTATTTATTTATTTATTTATTACAACACATAAATATTGGTACAAAGGAGCTCCAGATACATATGCGCCTCACATATATCATTTGATTTGTATGAGGGCTGTGATACAGCCTGGGTGCACAAACTCAAACAGGTGGTTTTCTTAGGGAGTCATATATTGGGCCTTCGACCTGAAGATCTGATCCACAAGGCAGTGGAGCATCGTAAGGAGATGCAGTCCCATGGTAGCCGATGACCAACGATTGATTCATACGCCATTTGTTCTCTCAAAATACTGGAGGCCATGTGCACCATTCGTTTGGAATCAGGGTTTTTCAACTCCCTTAGGTGGACTCACTGTATCCATCAACCCGGTTAAAACGTCGGACATTCGCTTTTCGTCCTCTCAATTTCGTAAACAACAGTAATGCCACTGTGAGAAGGCAATGAGTAGGACTTCCCTCGGGTAGAGGCAGTATACGCGTGGCCATGTGAGAGCATTTCGAGAGAGAGGGTGGCAACTTCCCACTCTCAGTCGTACCACGGCATTTGGGGAAGAGAACAGAAACGAAATACAATGGGTATGAAAATGCATGATCAATAATAATCGAAGACTATGAACTGATATTTTCAGAAGGAATAGTCAATAATGAGACAATCCATTGATAGTTTGCAAATTAATTGTTTAATGTAAAGTTATCAGATTCTAGTGAAATAATCTGTTATTTTTAAGCTCAAATATATTCCATTGTCCTCACCTATTGTTCTTGTTCTACAATTATATACACATTTTATTTATGATATGGTAATAATTTCAAATATATGAGCTCTTCATTTTTCAGCTTAATAAGTCATTTGTAGATTTCAACTTTTGATGATAATAAACAATGGGATAATAAATTTTCAACTATGAAAATACTAATCTCTCCACAAAACCCCTCTCTGATATCTCAATGAGTAGAAAAATTAGATCTTCTGACTGTTACGTCTGGTCGATTGTGAACGCTGTATTCGCTTCCCTAAGCTAGTTCCGTACCCCCGAGCTAGAAATATACACCGACTTGAAGACCAGAGAAAAGGCACAAAGTGTGAGGGAAGCACTTTACTACAGGGTTCATTCATGTACAGAAAATATAGGGGTTTTATAGTAATTTGGAGTCCTTGAGTTTTTACTGAAAGTTCTAGAATACTGCTAAACATAGTAGTAGTGTATCAATCAGCCAATCAAGATCTCCACATGTGACTTTTCCACTTTCGTTATTTTAGTAACAAAACTTCACATAACTTCTAATTAATATATATAACACTAGTCCATTAATAGTTCCCAGAAGTTACCCGTAATTTATTCTTCACTAGGATATAACACACCACACTACAAGATAAATAATATGTACCATCTCATATTAATACAACTCTCTCTTTATATCAATTACAGTTTCGATTTGTAAAAGGTAGTGTTCGTATTAAATTAGTCATTTTAGTTGAGTTAAATTGAGTCTTCACTACATGTAGCCTCATTACTAATTTTGTATGTTGGACACTGAAAAAAAATATTCACCTACCAATTGGTTTAATTTTAAATAACTTAAGACGTTATTATCAAAAGAATGATATTTGTTAACTCTTACTTCACAATTTGTTTTCAAAAATTGTAACCAAGTTACCTTGGTTTGAAATGAAATCAGAAAACCAATTTGGTTCATTAATGTAATAATATAAGAACAGACAGGAATTATGAAAACACCTGACTGATGAAAGTATAAACCAAATAACAGCTATATTATATGTGAAAATGACTTACTCGACTTAAAAGACTTGTTTCAGCTCCTTTACATAAAATAAGAACTAAAGAATTTAATGATTCAAATTCACCACTTTCATTTGGTACAAACTGTACAACTACTGACATACATTTTCTTGTTGCATCAAATTCAAGCACATCTAATAAACGATATCTCACTGCTTCACCTTGAATTGTAACTACCTGAAATATGTAAAACATAAGAAATTGTGTAACCATTGAAATATATAATTTTTTTGATGAAGACGTAGACTTATTGGCAGAGATATTTTAATAGTGTATCTGGGCTTATGAACAATAATACATTTTAGGTAACACCACATAAGTAATGAGTTTCAAATAAGGGGTTTAATTTATGGACATTTTTTTAGTTGTTTTTTAACTCAAGCCATCTGTTTCGAATCCTGTGCTGATAGTTTGAGTAAGAGCAGATTAAACTGATCTAACTTTCATTAATAAACGGTCATTTATAAATACTCTAAATTAAAAGATTTTTATAACTATTCATTGATAAGCTTGGTTACTTAAAAAAATAGTCATGTGTGAATATTATAATTACTAAAATCTCCACAAAACCCCTGCTGATAATGATCATATGGTCACTAGTGACTGGCTCCATGAGGTATTTCCTGGAGTTATAGTGAGTAGCAGTAACCAGTGCAGTTCAACCAGGTCTGTTTGGAGAAATCAACTCACTGAAGAAATTGGTGAAATGGTTGCTCAAACTTCGTGGATTGGTTGAAGTTAGACATTAAAATCGTTGGATGCCGGTCTGCTCAATGGTCTATCGGTTGAGTGCTCTGGCGCGAGACTGATAGGTCCTGGGTTCGAATCTCTTGAGGAGGGTGCGTGGATGCGCACTGCCACTGAGGAGTCTCACAATAGGACAAAGCGGTCGTCCAGTGTTTCCAGGTTTTCCATGGTGGTCTAACTTAAATTAACTCATGATCATAACTAGATAATATTATAATTACTCAATAACATATCGAAATGGTATTACCTAGAAAAATTGTCTAGGCAACATCTAAGAAAAGAAAAAAGAGACATTCATCTTTAACACTGATTACTATGAAATGTTCATAAAACTTACAATGTAATTTTATTTCACAATATCACTTGAAATAATTAAAATATTTTTAAAGGTTGTCCAGCATTTTTGGCTCTAATTACGGACATCCTATAAAGTAGTCGATATCTGAACTTCACATTTCATAAATATCTATTTGTAATACTGACCTATTTAACAATAATGCTATTTTTAGTTGTGTAACCTTTGAAATTCAGTTCTTATTCTGGTGAAAATGCAAAGTGTACATTTTGCTTACAAGCTTCTAAAGACTTTAGCAGATTATTTAAGTAATTGGTATGCATAGATGCTTTCATAAGATGTTTAATAATGATAGTTAATCAAATGAAGTTTCAAAAGTATCCATCAGCATTTTAAACATAAGATAAAATATGAATATTAGTCAAAATTAGAGCCAATAAAAATGGATAGTAGCTATCAGTGGAATTCAGGATGCTTGTCTCGTCCTATTTGGGACTCGTCAGCTGAAGGTATCTGCTTCTCAATGTGAACACCAACTCTGAAATGCAAGCACATCCAGTCGACGAGTCCTAAATTTCACGAAACGCGCGCCCTGGATTCCATCTGCTAGCCACTATCCTGATTACAATGCTTGTAAATTAAGGCTATATTAAAGCAATACGCACAGTATGCACATATGCCAATAAGAGACTGGTCAATTACAGTCCTAAACATCGATGGGAAGATTCAAGTAAAACAATGCCAAGTGAATTAGAACGAATAAGTTGAAAACAATTGGGTGCCCAGTATAGAGTAGTGTATTATTACTCTGAAGATGTCCAGACAAGTTTGCTGAACGAAACGTTGAAATTATTTCAATTTCAATTTCAGAGATCATTTCAAATATAAATTTCACATAAAATAAGATAAAATAGATTATTACTGCTTTTTGTTTTATCAAATCTGTTTATGTGAGGTCAATCACTAACTATATTTTGTATTTTGAAAAATGAATGGAAAATCACCCTTTAGTAATAATAAAGATTTTTAATAAGCTACTCTAGTAAAACAACACTTAGAGATGACGACATTGGATGATATTAGTTGCTCGTATCAACTGACAGATATTCTTCAAAATTCATATTACACAATGTATTTTAAATCACAAAGTAGAAGTCAGGTAGTAGTAGTAGTAGTAGTAGTAGTAGTAGTAGTAGTAGTAGTAGTAGTAGTAGTAGTAATATATTCAAGTGAATATCTTGCATGATGGTACTGTTTGCACTAGAGTATATATGATAATCGAGTTACTATTTCCCGAAAAAAAATATGTATGTACCTAACTAAAAAGTATTAAAAGCGTTGAATATATGGTACAGCGTATTCTTCTTTATTACACTATACCGGTTATAGCTATTCTAAGGTTACTGCCAGTTCCAAGTCAGAGTAAAAACGGAAGGGTCTGGAGTACAATGAACAACTCTATCTCTCGTAATAGAGAACCTTTCTGGAAAAAAACAACACTAGTCAGTAAACGTCTTTACAATATAAAGAATTGACATCAATTCCACCTTTGTTCATCAATGTGCTAAGTTACTACTATATAAATCTTTTTGATTGACTATTCCAAAGAAAAAAATACAAACGTAGGCTAATATGAGAAAACAATTTTTTTTCTATTGTAAATTGCAAAAGAAAAAACCAACAATATTTCAGTTTATTAATGAAAAAAAAAGTGTGGGACTCCACAATTACGTATCATTGTTATTCATATATATATCTTGATAATAGAATGTTGTATTGGTTGAGGTACCGCTTTATTTGATTATAAGTCCTATGAATTCTTATATTGATATAAAGAAACTTTAGTAAGATATGATACTATTTGATGATATTAATCTAATTGATGCAATTTTCGGGTTCAATAACTCATAGATGAATGTTTACATAAGGTCTGTATTATTAAGTCATTATGTGGTGTGGGTTGCTTACATCCACATAAGTAGTATATATGGTGATGGTTAGGAGGAGAATGTATTTCAGTAGAAGATCGATAAGGACAGATCTATTTATTTATTTATTTATTTATTTATTACAACACATAAATATTGGTACAAAGGAGCACCAGATACATATGCGCCTCACATATATCATTTGATTTGTATGAGGGCTGTGATACAGCCTGGGTGCACAAACTCAAACAGGTGGTTTTCTTAGGGGGTCATATATTGGGCCTTCGACCTGAAGATCTGATCCACAAGGCAGTGGAGCATCGTAAGGAGATGCAGTCCCATGGTAGCCGATGACCAACGATTGATTCATACGCCATTTGTTCTCTCAAAATACTGGAGGCCATGTGCACCATTCGTTTGGAATCAGGGTTTTTCAACTCCCTTAGGTGGACTCACTGTATCCATCAACCCGGTTAAAACGTCGGACATTCGCTTTTCGTCCTCTCAATTTCGTAAACAACAGTAATGCCACTGTGAGAAGGCAATGAGTAGGACTTCCCTCGGGTAGAGGCAGTATACGCGTGGCCATGTGAGAGCATTTCGAGAGAGAGGGTGGCAACTTCCCACTCTCAGTCGTACCACGGCATTTGGGGAAGAGAACAGAAACGAAATACAATGGGTATGAAAATGCATGATCAATAATAATCGAAGACTATGAACTGATATTTTCAGAAGGAATAGTCAATAATGAGACAATCCATTGATAGTTTGCAAATTAATTGTTTAATGTAAAGTTATCAGATTCTAGTGAAATAATCTGTTATTTTTAAGCTCAAATATATTCCATTGTCCTCACCTATTGTTCTTGTTCTACAATTATATACACATTTTATTTATGATATGGTAATAATTTCAAATATATGAGCTCTTCATTTTTCAGCTTAATAAGTCATTTGTAGATTTCAACTTTTGATGATAATAAACAATGGGATAATAAATTTTCTCTAATGATTACCCAAATATTATATGAAACTTAAAGGATAATGATCTAATAATGAGTTTCGATGTGATTTGTACTGGATAAAGGAGAGTATATTATTCCAAATGATGATTCGAAATCTTTGATTGATTGCTATGAACGCTATCTAACTACAGAAGTGAAAAGACGTATAACATGAAAGTGATAAAGTTCACAAATATGAAAAGACAAAGAATAATTAGTGTCTAGGTCTTTTACAATAATTCACCAAAGATGAGACTAAACGAATAACATTTGTTTTTCAATAGTGCAATCATTCGTTATTTGTTCAAACGTGAACACGATAATATACGTATCATTAGCAAGTTTTAATTTAATAATTTCGAATAAATTGAATATTGGGTAGATTGTTATAAATAAATATAATATATTTGTAATATTTCTGATGCGAGACTGGTAGGTCCTGGGTTCGAATCTTGCTCGCGTGGATGCGCACTGCCTCTGAGGATTCTCACAATAAGACGAAACGGCCATCCAGTGCTTCCAGGTTTTCCATGGTGGTCTAGCGTCAATTGACTCATGATTTCAACTATGAAAATACTAATCTCTCCACAAAACCCCTCTCTGATATCTCAATGAGTAGAAAAATTAGATCTTCTGACTGTTACGTCTGTTCGATTGTGAACGCTATATTCGCTTCCCTAAGCTAGTTCCGTACCCCTGAGCTAGAAATATACACCGACTTGAAGACCAGAGAAAAGGAACAAAGTGTGAGGGAAGCACTTTACTACAGGGTTCATTCATGTACATGTAGACATGAATGGGATTTTTTTTCTATTAATCGAACTAAAGTATTTCTAAGTGTGTTCGTTGTTTCTTAATATACTTTAAATCTGTGTTGTTTTAAGATTCTTTGGAATTCTTCTGTTGTGTTATAACGGTATGCTAAAACTGCAGTGCCAAACTATGGCATATCATTCGAGTTATTATTATTACGCACTGAACCGTCTTGTTTTACTATATTTCTTATAATCTTTTTTTGATTGATCACTTAATACTCTTATTGTTCCGTTGTACTATTTAAACTTGGATAAATGTTAATTTGGTTATTTATTTTCTGAAGAAGTGACTTACACTGCTGAGTTACGAAACAACAGAAAATATAATTTTTCTAATCATTGGGATAGGACGAAACGGCCGTCCAGTGCTTCGGGTTTTCCATAGTGGTCTAGCTTCAATTGATTCATGAATTTAATTATGAAAATATATAGTTATTTATAGTGAACACAATGTTGATATTTAAGAATCCTTTTATTAAAAGGATGTAAACTCAGTTTCCTTTTCGACGAAATCGTTTACCTAAGCTGTACATCGGTATGTATAGTTATATGGAAAATATATATCTACAAGAGGTTAGGAAAGATTGCATTATAAATGGATTCGACAATAAATAACAAATGAGGTTACGTACTAATCAAGAGGTAAGGGAGAAAATAATTTATAGGTCAGATAATAGTCCAATTAACAGGTATGAAGAAAAGCGACAAACAGAAAGGTCATAATAATAAACTGGAAAATAATTAAGAAAACTTGTATAAGGTAGTAATAATAATAATAACTGATTATAATCAGAAGGGGTTTTGTGGAGATTTAGTGTTTTCATAGTTGAAATTATGAATCAACTGAAGGTAGACCACCATGGAAAATCTCAAAGCACTGGACTGCCGTCTCATCCTATTATGGGACTCCTCAACAGTGGGCATCCACGATCCCGTCTCGCGAGAGAGATTCGAACCCAGGACCTATCAGTCTCTCGCGCGAGCGCTTAACCATTAGACCACTGAGTCGGCCGGCATCCAATGGTGTTAATGTCTAACTTCAAACAATCCACGAAGTTTGAGCAACCGTTCACCAATTGTCTTCAGTGAGTTGTTATCTCACAACAGACGTGGTTGAACTCCACTGGTCACTGCTTCTCACTAGAACTCCAGGATATGTATCTTGAAGTCAGTCACTAATGAGCATATGATTATAATTACTGATTAGAGCTTAAAATGTAAAACAGTAATTAAAAAAACCCCGATAATAATCAAATAAAAGTGAAGAAAAGGGGAAAAAACGCAACCAGAAACATACCCATTAAGGGAATTAGAGCCAATTAAGGGTGAGAGTTTGGAAAAATCGTTTCTGTACGCAAAGTTCAGGCTTGAGTTCAAGGATTGACAATGTACAGCTTAAGTAAATGATTACGTCGAAAAGAAAGATTTTCTTCGCTGAATTCTCTTTTTCTTATTCAATGACATTATGAGTTATTTTAATTATATATATGCTCTCACATAGCCAGGCGTATATAGCCTCTGCCCCAGGGAAGTCCTACTCACCGCCTTCTCTTGGCACCGGTGTTATTTACATAATTGACAGGACGAAAAAAGGAATGTTCGAAGCTTTAACCAGGTTGGTGGACACGAAAAGTCCACGTAGAGGAGTTGGAAAACCCTGATTCCAAACCAATGTTGCACATGGACTCCAGTATCCTGAAGAAACAAATGGCGTATGAATCAATCGTTGGTCACCGTCTACCATGGAACTGCATCTCCTTACGATGCTCCACTGCCTTGTAGATCAGACGTTTAGGTCAAAGGATCCGGGTGTGGCCCCCTAACTAAACCACCTGCTTGAGTTTGGGCACCTGGGTAGTATCACAGCCCTCACACAAATTGAATGCAGTTTGTGCGGCGCATATATATCTGGTGCTTCCTTGTACCAATGATTATGAGTTTAAATATAATATATATATATATATATATATATATATATATATATATCTTTGAAATGATATATAATGTTGGATCATTTTTACCTTGATCGTTTCACTTTCATGTATATTCATAACATCATAAAATTACCTGGTTAAATGACCTTAATTACTATAATTTTCCAATTTTTATCTTCTACATTAAATCAATTAGGTTTAATAATTCAAATAAAATAATTTCTGATTTCAATATTTAATTTTGTAAAATTAAATTTTTGTTACTATTTAATTATCTATTCTAGAATATTCATATAATGAAATTGTTAAAATAATAAACATTTGAATAATTGTAAGCAAAAATGAATAATGGCTAGCAGTGGAATTCAAGACGTGCGTTTCGTCCTATTTTGGGACACGTCAGTTGGATGTACTTGCATCTCAGAGTTGATGTTCACTCTGCTGCTAGTCACTATCTATCTCTGCTTACCATGCTTGTGAATTAAGGCTATATCGAGGCAATATGCATAGTATGCACATATGACAATTAGAAACTGACCAGTTGCAGTCTTAACACATCAATGGGAAGATTCAAACAAACAATACTAAGTGTATGAATAATAGATTGTAAGCGGCTGAACAGAATCCATTAGATAAATCAATTCATGTTATTCTATTATCTTTATTTTTCTTGTTTCAGTTAAAAGTAGGAAACTAAATGTATCTTCAATGATTACTTCAAATAATTTAACAAAATCTGCACTAAGATTAAGCGTTTGGAACTCAGTAGCTAAGTGGATAATGTAATGGCGTTTGAAGAGAATGGTAGTTGGTTCAAGTCCTAGGATGAGTATGAACTATGGGATGCAAGTATGCCCAGATGACGAGTCACAAAAATCGGACGAAACTCACGCCCTAAATTCTATTAGTAGCAACCATATATCTTTGCTTATCATGTTCTTATGTAAATTTGAATACTTACTGTATGTAAATAAATTTATCCAACAACTGTAAAATCTCTCAAATTTAACCCTAGTGTTAGTCAATGAGAATAGTACTTTAGATTTGATATGGGATATTACTACAAGATTTGTAGAATGTCTTCGTTTTATTGCATTCTTTAAAAGAAAACTTTCTACAGGATTCTGTACTAATTTTCATATTTACGTCTCACTAACATTAATGAAGATAGTCTTAAGATTAAAACAAAATTGGTTGGCTAGTGATGTGATCATAGACTCTACTGGAAGAATATAGACAATCATATACTTCACCTATTTTATTCCTAAGAATTTGATCCTATCCAAAGATTTAATAAAGTACATATAACTGTATAGTTCATTGGTACATTAGAAACCAAAAAGAATATTTCTTTTATTTTCCTAAAACAATGTGGTTTCTAAAGAGATCAAATAAAATAGGTTAGAATATAAAGTTTAAAAATACAAAAAAATACAACAATAACAATAACAACTTTATTTCCAACTGTTAATACCTTAATTTGGTTGTTAGGCAACACAAGTACATAATAGAAGTTTTCAGGGTTACCATTGAGATATTACCATTTAACTTAGTACTTTATAATAAAAATTTAAACGGGATTTGAATAAGGAGAACAAATTGATTTGACTATCTTATTCGAAAAATCTAAGATCGTATTTATGATAATAACTAATTTTAAACATTACTTTGTATAGGTTATTAAAATGTTAAAAAGTAATAGACAAACAATAGTAAGATTTTAAAATGATCACGACGGATTGTTTTAATGATGAGTTTACAATAAAAACTAATGAAAAATAACATGGTAATAAATAAAATACTTTACATGATGTATTCGATAGTGATTTGTTTTAATAAATAATAGTTGCCATGACTACAATACTTGTATGATCAAGTTTAAATAAATTTTTTTATAGATCATACAAACATTTAATGTTTGTATGAGTCTTAAACTAGAACAAACTAGTTATCTACCACTGAATATTAAGACTGCGATAAAATTTATATCTAAATATATATATATGTCATATATGGTATTAAAGTAAAATTTTAGATTTATAAAAATGACAATAATTATCATTGATAAATTTTAATAAAGTAAGAAAAAATAGGAATTTATTAAGTTTTGAAATTTCTTCATTTGTCTATACAAGTTTACATTGTATGTATCAAACTACATAAGTCAGGAGCATTAGTCAGGGAGCATCAATTCCCTCAGGATTACAGGTACACCTTGCTGACGAGTGCCAAGTAGCACGAAACCCGGGTCCAGGGTTTCCTGTTGACCACCTCCAACCACCATCTTACCTCAAGGATGGTTAGTGTTCGCATCTCTTAGCACATTCTACAAAAGCTTAGACCAAGAGGAAAACATGTTTTTAGCAGTGTAATTGCACGTCGTTTGCACAATAGGACGAAATGGCCGTCCAGTGCTTTCAAATTTTCCTTGCTGGTTTAGCTTCAAATGACTAATGTTTCGTTTTTTATTTTATTATCCGTTTGTAATTCTTGATAAACTTATTATTTACACAAAAACTGACTTTTTAACATTCATATAGAATATTATTTAATTGTAGAATCTAAACTAAATAACTCAGTGAATGGTGGAGAAGATTTGTACCTCAAGTGGATGATTTTGATGGAGTTTTGTCCTCTGGGCTCAAAGAACAAAACTCCATCAAACTCAGTGAATACATTGTCATCCTTTTTTTCATTTTTCCAACTCTAGCAACAATGTTACATATATATAACACTTACAGAAAAGCTTTGTTGGTGAATTATTCAAATTTTACCAAATCAAATTCATTGAATGAATAATTAAGTCTATGAACTTACTAGTAATCCACTTTCATCTGAACCATGATATACTATGCCTAAATCACGACATGTTTCCACGAATGCTTTTTCATCAGGAGATGAGGCCTAAAACAAAACAAGAAAGCTTATTAGCTACAAATACACAAAAAAAACATTTTCCAAAGAGAGTAACAAAAATTATAAGTAGTACTGGCTGGTGGATGATAGTAGAATATATTATGTAAGATTTTTTTCTCTTTTTGAATGATCGACTGGATCTCAGAACTGATGTTCACTCCGGGACTCACACCTAGAACCGTCCACTTCAATCGCTGAAGCGCTATCCGCCTAGTCCTTGAATCCCAATATAGACAATAACTTGTTAAAAGAGATGAATTTTGATTCCATTGTATTGGTTGTTTGAAATTTCCTATTGGTGTTTAAGACTTAAATCAACCAATTAGTCTAGGTTTGTTTATTCCAGTAAAATAAAATGAGCGTCCTAAGCTTTACTGCTAGCCACCATCCAACTCAACTTATTATGCTTGTAACTTAATGACAAGGCTGAGGCAATCTCCACAGGATGTACATATGTCAAAAGAAACTGATCTATTACACAAATGAGAAGATTTAAACAACCATCGTAAGAGAAGCAGAAAAACTACAAATTATCATTGGCAATCAAAGTTCAGTTGTATAATCAGAGGTTCAGTTTATAAGTTTATCTGAATCAGTATAATTTTTGCTCAAAACATCCTAAAAAAATTATTTTATTACAATCGTATACAACTGTACAGTTAAAACTAAAGTAAACAGGTTCCTATATGACTTACTGGTGAATAACTCGATTACACAGTTCCTTACATTTAGCATTACTGTGTATTCTAAAGCTAAATAAAGCTTTGATGTTAGATAGTTGTAGGCAACTAACAGGTATCCCCTGATCTGGATTTCTCCTACTTCTTACTCATCAGTTTGAAAAATCACTATTCTTGAGGGAACCAATGATTTTTAATGTATTCGAACCCATATCATCAAATCTCACAATCAAATATGTTATTTATCATGTAATTTACGTTGTCTCAGAACTCCTGAAGAAATTAATTATTCATAATGATAGTAAATACACTTTGCCACAAAGTAGCAACTAACACGAAATGTAGGTACGGAGCAGCATGTCGATTCCTTCTAATCACCTAGCATTGAATCAAATCTATTAAATGTCGACCACGTAAAATGACGATCACATAGCAACTTAGTCAATAAAATTTGATCCTCATAAGAAAAAAAAGTAAGCGTAACAGTGTTTACATTTAATTGATCTAAACAAAATCTATACATCACTAAAATTGTTGATTCAGATGTTATAGCAATTCATTTGTAGTTACCGATGTATTTTGTTTGTATTTGACCATAGTATTAAGTTTGGTCAGAATAATCAATCTATAACATTAAATATTTAGATGGAGTTTTGTTCTCTGAGCTGAATGGTTCGGTCGTGGAGCTTTCATCGTTCTTCTGAAGGACATCATCAACACAAACTTCGGGTAGAAGTGAAGTGTTCGAATTTCTCCACGTGTGCTTCATAACATCAAGGTGTACAGGACAAGAAGCCATGAAAAGTGAAATCCAATCCGTGTCAAGTAGAGACAGGATTCACTTCAAATAATGGATGTGGAGTTGCTCAAAATCATGGATCGATTGACGTTCAACATTACCACTGTCGAATGCTGGCTCAATGATCCAAATGTTAAGTGTTTGCATAAGGGATCGTGGATGTGCACTGCTGAGGAGTTTCATAGTAGAAGAAAAGGGTGTCAAGTGCCTTCAGGTTTTCAATGATTATCTAGCTTATATCGACTTATACATTCAAATATTAAAATTACTACAATCTCAACAAATCCCCATTATGATTATAATGAATTCATTTTATTTTGTTTCAATGTATCTTAGTGTATGTAATGTAATAGCTCCCTTCAATAAAAAGACACCTAGATACACAACAATTTTCAAAACCAAACAGAAAATTGAAGATGTTTCACTCATTGGAATAGAAGTGTAAATATTTTCTTTTAATGCTGATTATTTATACTGAATTATATAGTAACTAGGTATTCGTTAAGTTACAGTCACAATGTTATCTTTTGTATTAACACGAGATTCAATTCGATGATTATATGCGAGGATTGGTGATATGTATATTTCTATAATAATCAATCATACGATCTAATTGAAGTCATATGTAGGGCCACAAAAGAATAACGGTATTGAATAAATCAAATACGAGAATGGATTTTTAAGTACTTATATTTCGTACAACCGTTGATCGAAAGTGAAGCAAAACAAAATGACACGCAATGAATAAGGAGAGTGAATCAACTCAGTTTAGCCAAGCGTCAATCGATATTTATAGTCAAGCCAAAAATAAGTTACAGACATCTAATGAGAGTAAAACAAGAAATGTACACACACACACACACGCGTTTACATAAAAACAGTCAAGGTTGACAGGTGAATAATTAACAAGGTCAAAATGTAGCTTGAGAGCAATGAATAAATTAATCTTTCCAGAGGCTAGAATAACCTATTCGGGCTTGACATAGTACCAGCTCCTACAGTTCACTAACACAACTTAAGTCAATTATTATATACGAGGATTGGCGACATATATATTTCAATAACAATCATCCACACCATCTAAATGCAGTCAGATAAGAGCTACTAAAACACTTATAAACCCTTCTCATTGTTATTTAGGACTGAGATTGATCAATCTCTTGTTAGCACATATACATTCTATACGGACTGCCTTGATATTGCCTTAAGTCACAAGCATTATCAGTAAAGATGGATAGTGGCTGGCAGTGAAATCTAGGGAGCACATTTCATCCTATTTGTTAAATGTTACAACTTGTCAAAATATAGAATAAATTGATTGGATAAAAAATGATACACTAATATAAAATATAATTCATTAGAATATTGATTTTATTATCAGTAATAATGTGAAAGATCTCTGTCACTGATTATCTAATCAATTAATTATGTTTATTTAATTTAATTTAAGGATAATTATCTCGTATGTTTTGTCGTTCAAATTAAGTATCAAATCTAGAAATTCATACTCACAAATGCCTAAATAAAATAGAACGGATTGATAATAATTATAATTCACACCATTGCACAAACAAGTGGCTATCAGGACTCAGCTACTGAGTGGATAACGTGATGGTGTTTGAAGTGAACGATACTGGGTTGGAGTCCCAGAGTGAACATCAACTCTGAGATGAACGTACATCCAACTGACGAGCCCCAAATAGGACGAAACGCACGTCAAACTGGATTCCACTGCTAGCCACTATCCATCTTTGCTTATTATGCTTGTGAATTAACGCTATATCAAGGCAATACGCACAGTATGCCAATATGAGACTGATCAGTTACAGTCGTAAACATCAATGGGTAGATTCAAACAAACAATACTAAGTGAATTTGAATATATTTTTTGTTACATCTCAATGAGTAGAAAAATTGTATTTCCGACGTTTCGTGACTTAGTGTAAGCTACTTCTTGAGAGTAAATAAATAACCGAATTAATTGAACAGTACAGATTGAACAACACAAAATTTTTTTAGTACAATCAAAATCATTATAGGTCTAAATAAGTCAATGTCAATTTATTCTTGATTAAGGTAAATCTGTATAACCTGCATTAATTTGTGCATCAGAATGTGGGTATGAAAAAGTATGCATTAGTAAAATGATTTAGTGAGGCCGTAATAATGTTTGTGTATATATATGTTGTTGTGTGGAAAATTAATAAGGTCAAATGTGGTTGTTTAAATATACAGTTCAAGCCGGATGAATATACAAGCCTCCTTTCTAATTGAGGTCAAAGAGATTAAGCATCACGTGAAACGCATCGGCTACTCGCCTCACTTTAAATCCTTTCTCAATTATTTCGAAATAATGCTAAGAGAGAGAGAGATGATAATAAATCTCATTATATTAAAAGTTGAAATCACGAGTCGATCTAAGTTAAACCACCATTGGAAACCAGTAAACACTGAACGGCCATTTCGTCCTAGCATAAAACTCCTCAGCAAGGCTCATCCACGATACCACATACAAAACTAGAACTGTCAACAATACACGTTTCTTTTCACTATAATTTATTAAATAGCAACAACAAAAAATCAGATTTTCTGATATTTCGTGACTACTATTCAAACTTGCATTAATTTTATTTTGGTTATTTATTCTCTGGAGAAGTGGCTTACACTGAGTTACGAAACATCAGAAAATCAAATTTCTCTACTCATTGGGATATTACAAATGTATATTATATTTATTTATAACCATCTACCCAGCGGTCAGTTTATTTGAAATTATCAAATCAAAACTTGATAATGATACCTATATTAGGTGGTTTTCTGTGGAGATTTTTTAGTAATTTTTATAAAAAGTTGAAATCATGAGTCAATTGAAGCTAGACTACCATCGAAAACCTGGAAGAATTGGACGGCTGTTTCGTCCTATTGTGAGACTCCTCAGTGGCAGTGCGCATCCACGATCCCGCCTCGTGAGATTCGGACCCAGGATCTAGCAGTCTCGCGGGCAATCACTTAACTGATAGACCACTGAACCGGCATCCAACGGTAGGTCATGGGCTCGAATCGCACGAGGCGGGATCGTGGATGCGCACTGTTGAGGAGTCCCATAATAGGACGAAACGGCCGTCCAGTAATTTGCAAATTATTATTTAACATACAATTTAACAGCTTACAATTTTATTGCAAACGATTTCCCAGTCTTATATGAAAGGATGGATAGTGGCTAGTAGTAGAATCTAGGAAGCGCGTTTCTTCCTATTTTGGAGTCGTTATTCGAATTTATCTGCATCCCAGAGTTGATGTTCACTACATGACTCGAACCCAGTACCGTTCGTTTCAAACGCCATTGCGTTATCCACTTAGTTACTGAGTTCAGATAGCCACTAGCTTGTGCAATAGTGCGAAGTTTTAATTTAATTTTGTATTGTTTGTTTTAATCTTTCTATTGATTTCTAGGACTACAATTGATCAGTATCTTACTAACATATGAGCATCCTGTATGGATTGCCTCA